CTGTAGTCCCAGCTACTCAGGAGGCTGAGGCAGGAGAATTGCCTGAACCCAGGAGGCAGAGGTTGCAGTGAGCTGAAATCGCACCATTGCACTTCAGCCTGGGTAACAAGAGTGAAACTCTGTCTCAAAGAAAAAAAAATGTGTTTGATTTCAAGTGTACAAGTCCCATTATGTGTGATCAGAGGACTCGGCCACTGTCAAAACTACAGAGGCCACAGGAGAACCAGCTTAGCTGAGCATCATTTAAGGCCTTTGTTGGGATTTGTCCCTGTAGGTAATGAGTAATGTTCACTTTTTATTACATCATAGCCAAGGCATATTTTATTACAAATATGGAACCTCTGACACTTAAAGTATGAGATCAGGGACACCACTGGGTGGGGGTGGGGGCATTTTTGCACAACACAGTTACCAACAGAGATGGGACTGTGATGAATTATGGAATTGACTTTGTCAAAGAACATTCAAAATTGCACAAAGCACATATTAATGTTGGATTAATGAGTTTTCACTTTGTTCGCTTCTGTGATTACAGCAGGTATTCCAAATGTTAGTCACCTACTTATGGCAGAAGATAAAATCACAGCTGAAAAAGAAAACCCCACATATTTTGGAAAGGGGACCCTGTAACACCTTGAGTAAAAGGGATTAGTCAGTGTTCACTGGGCCGTGAGACCTACAGCAGTGGAGTTCAGTGGCATCTCCTTGTGTTCTTTTTGGAGACAGAACGGTCAAAGTCTTTCAGCCCTCTACCCATAAGCATTTATGGCTACTGGAGGTGCCACCAAAGATGACCAGCTGGGAATAGAGAAGCCTGAAAGCTCATGGAGAAGATTTTGCTTTTGAAAAAGTCAAAACAGAGAAGGTACCAGAACCTGCAGAGCAGAGGCCAGGCCAGGCCAGGAAGAGGGCGCTGTAGGAAAAGATAGAAGTGTCCTGAAATAGGCAGAGTGACCCCAGCATTTCTGTTTTCAGTTGGGATCCAGCTGCTGTTCCTTATGGGAATTGAATGAGGTCCTGAATCAGCTAGGGCCAGAGAAGGGAACGTGACTTAATCTGGCTGGCATGTTCTGTGCAGAATGAGAAACCCTCCACGCCCTCCTTTGCCATCTCACTATCTTTGCCACACTCATGTCCTTGACCAGAGGCACAGGGGTTTATTGACCAGATGCCTCAAATGACCTGGAGTCCCCTGGGCCTTCATCCTTGAGGAAGACACCACAGAGCTCTGGTCTAGGTGAGATTTTCTTTTTATTTTATTTTTTGAGTTTTTTTGAGTTTTGCTCTTACTGCCCAGGATGGCATGCAATGGTACAATCTGCAACCTCCACCTCCTGGGTTCAAGTGATTCTCCTGCCTCAGTCTCCCAAGTAGCTGAGATTACAGACATCCACAACCATGTCTGGCTAATTTTTTGCATTTTTAGTAGAGACGGGTTTTACCATGTTGGCCGGGCTGGTCTCAAACTCCTAACCTCAGATAATCCACCTGCCTTAGCCTCCCAAAGTGCTTCCCAGCACTTTACAGGCATGAGCCACCATGCCTGGCCTGGATTTTCTTAACTATCAACCAACTGTGGCTCTAACCAGCTGGAAATGAGCTCTAAATCAGTCATTCCCAGTGCATATCAGAGGAAATCACTCATAACTTAAGCACTAAAAATTAAAATAGTGTCAGGTAGCCAGTTAGCTCAGTTGGTGAGCAAACTGACCACCGGACAATAATAATTAAAAAAAAAAAAACAACCAACAGCCATGGATGGGAAGAATTTCAATAAACCCTGGACAGGAATAGCACTGCTCCTTTTCTTCAAGCCATAGGGGCATTCAAAATTCTGCAGATTTATAATTAATCTAACTTTCATATCTAACCAGCTATTATCAGTATTTATGAACAGAAATGGACATACAGACATGAACAGTAATGAGAAAAGGTAAGAGCTGCAGAAATTAACTGGGAAGTTTTAGGGTTACACTTAAAATGTTAACAGGAGGAAGATCGGGAGGCTGAGGCAGGAGAATGGCCTGAACCCAGGAGGTGGAGGTTGCAGTGAGCCGAGATCGTGCCATTGCACTCCAGCCTGGGTAACAGGAGCAAAACTCCATCTCAAAAAAAACAAAAAAACAAAAAAGGAAGATTACATATAAATTTAATTTACTAAGAGTTATATAGCTCACAATAAACAATTTAAACAAGTAAAAAGAATGAAGCTCCAAAAAGTGTAAATAAGTGCTTTTCTTTTTTTCTTATTATTTTTTAAATTGATACAAAAATACCCAAAACCACCTTCTTTTCTTAAAGCAGATCTCATGGTACAATATCGATCCATGAAGACATTGCCCAGAAAATTTCTGCTTTCATCAGCACATACAGCTCCCATTCTAAAATGTCCTTGCTGTTACTTTTCTCAAATGAAATAAAAATAAAGCCTTTACACTGACTCAAGGTGGGAAAGGGAGCTGGCCCATTTGCTTTCTAGGCTCATCTCCTCAGTTAAAAGTAACCAAGATGCCCAGGCTGAGACAGTTGCTGTATAAAACAGGAAGAGTCAGTCCTGAAGGGTGTTACTTGTCAGAAGAACTTGCTGCGTGCCTTCACCGAAGACAGTCAAGTCTGCAGTTGGGTAGCTCAAGCGATTCTCCTGCCTCAGCCTCCGGAGTAGCTGGGATTATAGGCATGTGCCATCACACCCAGCTAATTTTGTATTTTTAGTAGAGATGGGGGTTTCTCCATGTTGGCCAGGCTTGTCTCAAATTCCTGACCTCAGGTGATCCGCCCACCTCAGCCTCCCAAAGTGCTGGGATTATAGGTGTGAGCCACCAAGTGTCTTGAATCATTTTCTTATGGTTTAGAATCACATTTATCATATAAAGCACCATTTTCAGTATGATTTTAAATAATCTGCCATGTTCCTGTTACCCTCACAACTATATCCTTACATAATCTATCTACAATCTATCTGTACGAAGAAAATGTATTTCACATAGTTGTAAAAGTACACTATGATCAAAACTGTTGCTATGATGATTCCTCCTCTTTTACTTAATGCTTGCTGGGTTCTGACAATTCCTTACTCATTATCAGCGTGTCCCTAATTCATCCTTTACTGGGCATCTTTTGTCAGTCATAAAGCTCTATTCTCCTTGTGTTAATATCCTTGCCATCTTTCACAGTGCAAAAACAGCTGGGCTTATAAACAGGCACAGTCCTTTTGAAGGATGTGGTCAATCCTACAACAACATGCTTTCCTAAGGATGATGACAATTGACATCACCCCTGGAACGGCTGGTATGAACCGAGTTTCCACAGTCTGGCCAGCATTGGGATCAGGAGATGTTTCGCTACTTCACATGTTTTGGTCACTGGTAAATTTTTTTTTTTTTGAGACGGAGTTTTGCTCTTGTTACCCAGGCTGGAGTGCAATGGTGTGATCTTGGCTCACCGCAACCTCCGCCTCCTGGGTTCAAGCAATTCTCCTGCCTCAGCCTCCCGAGTAGCTGGGACTACAGGTGCATGCCACCATGCGCAGCTAATTTTTGTATTTTTAGTAGAGACGGGGTTTCACCATGTTGACCAGGATGGTCTCGATCTGTTGACCTTGTGATCCACCCACCTCGGCCTCCCTAAGTGCTGGGGTTATAGGTGTGAGCCACCGCACCCAGCCAGTCACTGGTAAATCTTAAGGTACTTTGTTTTCTCTTTTGTGAATTCGCTCTCTCTCTCTCTCTCTCTCTCTCTCTCTCTAGATACCTCTTCTGACCATTTGTTTCTATTTATGTGTTAACTGGGTCTAAATATTGTACAAAGGTTAAAAACAAAACACTTCAACAGGGGTTTCCCAAGAGGCTGGTGTTCAGTTTCTGAACTTACTTGTAGGTGTGTCTTTTTTCCATAAACAATTTTATGTTTTCCTCTGCCTCTGACAGCTGCCTCTCCTTTTCTGCTTCCTCACCTTCTTTCATTCTCAGCTTCCTGAAATGAAATGGGAGAGAAATGCATCCACATGAACCACTAGCCCAGGCTGAGATTCTTTCTTCCCTTCCAGCATCTGAAGGCCATGATTCAAAGGTCCCCAGACAACCTTCCCAAGAATGAATCAACTGGAGGGAGAACTGATGCCTCCCATTGAGAGACAAAGAAAAACTACTCTGGCCTGCTGGCAAGTCACCTGTCATTTCCAGCTCATCTTTGTAGCTCTGTAGTGCCAACGAAGGTGACCCCTACTGAAGTTCGCTGGTTTTGGTTGGGACCCAGAAGAATCACACACCAGGAATAGAGGTAAACAAGAAATACCCTGGCCTTTGTAGGGACAGAGTCTGCACTGATAACCTTGATTGCCGACTGTATGGTGGACATCCAGGTGTGCTAGGACCCCTGACCATCTCCCAGAAGTAGTTTCCCATCTTTTCTGCAGCAGGATAACATGGTAGTAGGCCTCAATTAATTGCTAAATTTTTTTTTTTTTAGATGGAGTCTTGCTCCATTGCCCAGGCTGGAGTGCAGTGGCACCATCTTGGCTCACTGCAACCTGTGCCTCTAGGGTTTAAGCAATTCTCCTGTCTCAGCCTCCCGAGTAGCTAGGACTGCAGGCAACCGCCACCACACCCGGCTAATTTTTGTATTTTTAGTAGAGATGGGGCTTCATCTTGTTGGTCAGCCTGGTCTCAAATTCCTGACCTCAGGTTATCCACCCACCTTAGCCTCCCGAAGTGTTGGGATTACAGGTGTGAGCCACTGTGCCTGGCCCATTGCTAAATATTTTTTAATCAGTGTCTCACATTTAATAAAAAAGAACTAGGCAAATGGCAGGAAAATAATTTGACCAAAACTTAAAAGACTGGAAATGACCAAGCATTGAATTTAACCATGCCTGTACCAGTACCACCTCTTTCCTGCAAAAAATTACAAGGAAGAATGTGGGAAGGGGAAAAATACGCAGATTAACTAATCAAGAGGAAGGACAAACTCAATTTTGTGCTCACTTAATTTGCCACAAATATTGCAGAAAATATTCTCAAGGACATTACGGTTGTCTCCTTTGGTTGGTACATGGTTCATACAGCAGTATTTGTGTCAGTGACCATCTTACTCTTCCTCAGTAGTCTTTCTTTGTCCACAGATTTCGTAATGACTGTCGACCTTCGTCGTCACCTTCTGGACTTCAGGATGCACTTTGGCTTCCGTAGATCTCCATGAAATAAAGAGGTCTTCCAGGTCAATTTTAGTTCCTGGAAAGGACATAACCCTTTTCTTTGTGGGCGTCCAAGTCGACCTGAGCCCTTGGTTAGAGTGGGGAGAGTAAAAGGTGAGAAAAATAAGGGCAAGAAGAAGTTCTTTTTTTCTCTAGGGCATACTTTCTTCCATGCTATAGGGACTCCAACAAATAGCATACTTGCTTGGCTACAGCTGCTGGACCTCCAAGCTTTTAGCTGTGAATCCATGAATCCATCATTTACATTTCGTGACTTTAAGACAGACTTGAGGAAAGACATCTAGGAAATAATAATTGAACAATGATGTGAATATACTTCACACAACTGAACTGTATACTTCAACATGGTTAAGGTGGTAATTGTCATGTTATACATATTTTACCACAGGTTACAATGTTTCACAACTTGAAAAGGAAAAGGAAGTAATTACCTTGAGTTTTCAGCTAGGATTCCCAACGTTTCACCCCCTACTCATTCCTGATCTGCAGCAGAGGATCTTCTTTCTGTCCCTGCTCTTCTCAGAGTCCACTTTCCCTTCCCTGATACCAGCTTTACTGAGGCTTGTTTGAACCTAAAGCAAAACATTCTCACTAATGACTGAAGTCCAACAAATAATTCCATATAGACATTATATGATTTTAATCTTTTAAGGCATAAAATATTTGTTCTTGAGCGCAGTGGCTCAAGCCTGTAATCCCAGAACTTTGGGAGGCTGAGGCGGGTGGATCACGAGGTCAAGAGATCAAGACCATCCTGGTCAACACGGTGAAACCCCATCTCTACTAAAAATACAAAAAAATTAGCTGGGCATGCCCTGGTCAACATGGTGAAACCCCGTCTCTACTAAAAATACAAAAAATTAGCTGGGCGTGGTGGCACGTGCCTGTAATCCCAGCTACTCAGGAGGCTGAGGCAGAATTGCCTGAACCCAGGAGGCGGAGGTTGCGGTGAGCCGAGATTGCGCCATTGCACTCCAGCCTGGGTAACAAGAGCAAAACGCCGTCTCAAAAAAAAAAAAAATTTGTTCTCTTCATGGCTAAAATGCAGTACAAGTCCTGACACAGATGTGGCTCATATACCTCTGAAATTCCTGGGTATTCATTGAAATAACATCTTCCAAGTTCTTTGTAGAATGTTTTTTTTTTCTTTCTGATTTCTGCACATAGGATAGGAACAAAACATGTACTAGGATCTCAGTAGAAGCAATGTGTGATCTAAAAAGATGAAAGAGCCAGGCGCAGTAGCTCATGCCTGTAATCCCAGCACTTTGCGAGGCTGAGATTGGTGGATCACCTGAGGTCAGGAGTTTGAGACCAGCCTGGCCAACATGGGGAAACCTCATCTCTACTACAAATACAAAAATTACCTGGGCATGATGGCAGGTACCTGTAATCCCAGCTACTTGGGAGGCTGAGACGTGAAAATCACCTGAACTGGGCGTGGCAGGGGGCGCGCAGTGTGCAGGTTGCAGTGTGCCAAGATCACACCACTGCACTCCAGCCTAAGGGATAGAGTAAGACAGTGTCTCCAGAAAAAAAGGGGACAGACCTTGAGTTAAGCACAGAAAGGAAAAAAAAAAAGGGTGGAGTGGTAAGGAGCATTGTCTTGGACCACACTAACACTAGCAATAGCTGATGAACTAACATCACAAAAATACTCATAATGTTTTAAGAAAGTTTACAAATTTGTGTTCTGCCACATTCAAAGCTGTCCTGGGCTGCTTGTGGCCTGTCACCTGCCTGTTAGACAAGCTAGTTATGAAGTAATTATCTTTTCTTTAATGTTATTTACTTACTTTTTAAATTGACATCTAACATTGTATATATTTATCATCTATCACATGATAAAAGAATCCCTCTGAATCACACTTCGCTTGGATTATGTGAATCTCTGCCATTTAAAGATCAGCGTGAGTTAAAAAAAATCAAGTGATGACTTCATTCAGAAATGAATATTAGATTTTAGTGCTGAAAAATAACTAAGGTAGGGACCTGAAAATGGCAAGAATAGTGTGGGATTTCTCTAAGATTCTTAATTCCACTACACTCTTATATGAATGAAGGACTTCCCCTGTGTAAGTTTAGATGACTTCTGATAATATTCCTAGATAGATTCCTCAGGATTTAACTATATGTTCTTGAAAACATCTTAATTTTAAATGTTTGTTTCAAGATGGTGAATTAAACAGAGATAGCCATTCAAAAGGTTGGACTCAGCATATGCTAAGTATGAAATGGAAAGGATTGAATTAGAGATCTGTGCAACAATGGGAATCATTTCAGAAATACTATGTTGAACAGAATAAGGTAGACACAAAAGAGTACCTATGGCATGACATGCATCTATATACATGAAATTCTAGAATAAGCAAAATCAACCTATGATGAGAAAGGGATTGGCTGGGAAGAGAGAAAGGAGAGTTTACTTTCTGGGGTGACATAATATTGTAGATCTTGAAAGGAGGCTGGGTTATGCTGGTATATGTAGTTTTCAAAGTTAGTAAACTTACACTTAAGATTTGTATATTTTGTTCCATGTCACTCTTCTTTAGAAGAAAAAATTTAAAGAAACATTGAATTCTAGTTAATGTTAATCTTGCTAACCTATTCAGCAGGAAGTATATTGATGCTTCCAGTTCAGTTGGAAATACATCTAAAATAAGATGGGCTGATGATGGATGGATAGAGGGATGGAAAGATGGGTAGATACGTGTTAAGTCGTGTTCATTAATATGTTAACACATCAATGCTTTATGTATGAAGTTTTATAGTAAAATGTTGATGGTCATTGTCAAAATCACTTGTCCCATGTCAGTAATTTGTTCTTTGCTCAAGAGTTCCCAAATCATTATTACTCATGTTCTGTATGTTTGAACAATTTTAGACACAATATCAATTGGATGCTTTCCCTGTCGGTTATGGAGTTCCAAAATGCAAGGATACACAGGGAAATCTTGCAAAGGTGCTGCTTTCTAGATTTTTGCTTTCAGGACAAAGACCAACTGGGAGAAACAAGCTTCATATCTCTTTCCATGGGAGAGTACAGACACACTATCATATATTCATATGAAGGAATTTTACTCAGCAATTAAAAAAAAAACTTTTTTTTTTTTAATATGGAGTTTCACTCTGTTGCCCAGGCTGGAGTGCAATGGCATGATTCGGTTCACTGCAACCTCCACCTCCCAGGTTCAAGTGATTTTCCCGTTTCAGCCTCCTGAGTAGCTGGGATTATAGGTGCACGCCACCATGCCCTGCTGGCTAATTTTTGTATTTTTAGTAAAGAGGGTTTCATCATATTGGTCAGGCTGGTCTCGAACTCCTGACCTCAGGTGATCTGCCCTCCTCAGCCTCCCAGAGTGCTGGGTTTAAAAGTGTGAGCCACTGGGCCCGGCCACAAACTATTAATATTTAAAACAATGTAGATCAGTGTGAAAATGATTCTGCTGACTTTACAGAATTCAGAACAATAATACCCCTCCTCCTGGGTGGGGGTGGGGGGGGGTGGGGGCCGTTTAAAATAAAAATAAAAAATAAAAAAAGAATACCTCTCCTCCTCTCCTGTATAACTCCATTACATGAAATGGCAGTTCAGGGAAGGATAGTAGGATGGAGGGAGGAGGACTGATGGATTAAAAAGAAGGAGGAGAGGCCGGGCACAATGGCTTACCCCATAATCCCAGCACTTTGGGAGGTTGAAGTGGGCAGATCACCTGAGGTCAAGAGTTCGCAACCAGCCTGGCCAACATGGTGAAAACCCGTCTCTACTAAAAATACAAAACAGTTAAGTCAGTCATGGTGGTAGGTGCCTGTAATCCCAGCTTCTCAGGAGGCTGAGGAGAAGAATCACTTGTACCCAGGAGGCAGAGGTTGCAGTGAGCTGAGACTGTGCCATTGCACTCCAGCCTGGGCAACAAGAGCGAAATTCCATTTCAAAAAAAAAAGGAGAAAACTTTGAAGAGGGAGGAATGCGTTTATTATCTTGAATCTGGAATATGGTGATGCTTTAATTGCTATATCCATATGTAAAAGTCATCAAGTTGTATTCTTTAAAAAGATGCTATTTACTATACAGGACTTTACAACACTTAAACTGTAGGAAGAAAATTTGAGACATAAACTATTACTTTTCATTTATCTGACAAAAACATTGCAAATATTTTAAAAAATAATTACAGAACTTTACCTAGAAATTTAGGATTCAATTTAAAAGGAAGGTAAGAACATACAATGGCCAGGAAGCCAAGGTCTTCTTTTAAATATTTAGAAACTTGGCCAGGCGAGGTGGCTCACACCTGTAATTCAGCACTCTGGGAGGCCCAGGCGGGTGGATCACCTGAGGTCGGGAGTTAGAGACTAGCCTGACCAACATGAAGAAATCCCGTCTCTACTAAAAATACAAAATTAGCCAGGTGCGGTGGTGAGTGCCTGTAATCCCAGCTACTTGGGAGGCTGAGGCAGGAGAATCACTTGAACCCAGAAGGCAGGAGTTGCAGTGAACTGAGATCCTGCCATTGCACTCCAGACTGGACAACAAGAGTGAAACTCTGTCTCAAAAAATAAATATTTAGAAATTTGCATTACATTCTCTGTAACGTATCCAAAAATATGTCCACACTGTATGGAAGAATGAGAAAAAATATATAAGTAAAAAGTCTTATAGATGAAAATAGTACATAAAGATATGGGGTTTTTTGTTTGTTTGTTTGTTTGTTTTTGAGTAAAGACGGGGTTTCACCATGATGGCTGCTCTGGTCTCGAACTCCTGAACCTTAGGTGATCTGCCTGCCTCGGCCTCCCAAAGTGCTGGGATTATAGGCGTTAGCCCACGCCCAACCAGATATGTTTATATATACACAAAACTGAGAGTGGGCAGCTGCTATAATAATACTGGCTGGGCACAGTGGCTCATCCCTGTAAATCCCAGCATTTTGGGAGGCTGAAGCGGGAGGATCACTTGAGGTCAGGAGTTTGAGACCAGCCTGGCCAACATGGTGAAACCCTGTTTCTACTAAAAATACAAAAATTAGGCATGGTGTCACAACCCTGTAGTCCCAGCTACTTGGGAGGCTGAGGCAGGAGAATTGCTTGAACCCAAGAGACGGAGGTTGCAGTGAGCTGAGATCATGCCACTGCGCTCCAGCCTGGAAAACAGAGCGAGACTCCATCTCAAAAATATGTTTATATTCATAATAATACCTAGGTTATATTCCAACAGAAATAATCACCGAATCTTGTTTAGCCTAGTTTCTAAAAACATTAACTTTTGAAAAAATCAATGTTCATTATTGCTGAAATAGGGCACTTCATGTCAGATTTTCAAAGTCCAAAAAGATTTGTGTAACAGCTGGGTGCGGTGGCTCATGCCTGTAATCCCAATACTTTGGGAGGCCGAGACAGGTGGATTTGAGGTCAGGAGTTGGAGACCAGCCTGGCCAACATGGTGAAACCCCATCTCTACTTAAAATACAAAATTAGCTGGGTGTGATGACGGGCACCTGTAATCCCAGCTACTCAGGGGGTTGAGGCAGGAGAATCGCTTGAACCCAGGAGGTGGAGGTTGCAGTGAACCGAGATCTCACCATTGCACACCAGCCTGGGGGACAGAGTGAGACTCTGTCACACACACAAAAAAAGAAAAAGATTTGAATAATATAGTCTTCTTGTAATGTTGATTAAAACTGTGAAAAATGTGAGAATTAAAGTTAGTTAAAAACACAGGCAGGGCATGGTGGCTCACACTTGTAATCCCAGCACTTTGGGAGGCTGAGGCAGGCAGATCATGAGTCTCGCTCTGTCTGCCAGGCTGGAGTGCAGTGGCATGATCTCAGTTCCTGCCACTGCCTTCTGAGTAGCTGGGATTACAGGCACCTGCTGCCATGCCCAGCTAATTTTTTTTTTTTTAAGAGACGACGTCTCACTATGTTGCCCAGGCTGGAGTTCAGTGGCGATCCCACTACTTATCGGCACAGGAGTTTCGACTTGCTCCATTTCTGACCTGGGCCGGTTCACCCCTCCTTAGGCAAACTGGTGGTCCCCTGCTCCCAGGAGGTCACCATATTGATGCCAAACTTAGTGCGGACACCTGATCAGCATAGCACACTATAGCCCAGAACTCCTGGGCTCAAGTGATCCTCCCACCTCAGCCTCCTGAGTAGCTGGGATTACAGGCATGCACCACCACGCCCAACTCATTTTTATATTTTTGGTAGAGATGGGGTTTCACCATGTTGGCCAGGCTGGTCTCAAAATCCTAACCTCAAGTGATCCACCCACCACAGCCTTCCAAAGTGTTGGGATTACAGATGTGAGCCACCATCACTGGCTTATCCTATTCCTTTCTATATGGTTAATTTTTCTTGTTGCAAAGTATTTTTTTTTTTTTTTGAGACAGAGTTTTGCTCTTGTTACCCAGGCTGGAGTGCAATGGCGCGAACTTGGCTCACCGCAACCTCCGCCTTCTGGGTTCAGGCAATTCTCCTGCCTCAGCCTCCTGAGTAGCTGGGATTACAGGCACCACCGTGCCCAGCTAATTTTTTGTATTTTTAGTAGAGACAGGGTTTCACCATGTTGACCAGGATGGTCTCGATCTCTTGACCTCATGATCCACCAGCCTCGGCCTCCCAAAGTGCTGGGATTATAGGCATGAGCCACCACGCCCAACGCAAACTATATTCTTTAGTGGAGATTTTATGTATTACATAACTGAAAATCTCTGTCTTTTCCCCACTCTAGAAAAGTAGTTTTGCTGAGTATAAAATTGTAAATTGACAGTTATTTCTCCTCAGCAAATGGAAAACTGCTCTATTGTTGGGAAGAATGGTGTCACGTTGATTTCCACTGCAGATTTTGTGCCTTCCCTCTCTGGTAGATATTAAGATTTATTTTTCTTTTCTTTTAGAGACAGTATCTCACTCTGTCACCCAGGCTGGAGTGCGGTGGCATGATCATGGCTTACTACAGCTTTGCCCTCCCTGGGCTCAGGTGATCCTCCTACCTCAGCCTCCCGACTGGTTGGGGCCACAGATGCACACCATCACCCCTGGTTAATTTTTTTATTTTTTGTAGACACAGGGTTTTGCTATGTTGCCCAGGCTGGTCTTGAAATCCTGGTCCTTTGTGTCTGTTTGTGTGCAAGATCATGGCTCACTGCGGCCTCTCCCTCCTGGCCTCAAGCTGTCTTCTCATCTCAGCCTCCCAAGTAGCTAGGATTACAGGTACACACCACCACGTCCAGCTGATTTTTTTCTTATTTCTTGCAGAGAGGGTTTCACTCTGTTGCCCAGACTAGTCTTGTACTCCTGGGCTCAAGTGATCCTCCCACCTCATCCTTCCAAAGTGCTGGGATTACAGGTGTGAGCCATTGCACCCAGCCTCATTCCGATTTTTTAAAAGACTAAATGGCTGGGAGTGGTGGCTTATGCCTGTAAACCTAGCACTTTAGAAGGCTGAGGTGGGTGATTGCTTGAGCCTAGGAGGTCAAGACCAATCTGGCCAACATGATAAAACCTGGTCTTTACTAAAAATACAAAAAAACTAGCTGGATGTGGTGATGCATGCCTGTAATCCCAGCTACTTGGGAGGCTGAGGCAGGAGAATTGCTTGAACCGGAGAGCTGGAGGTTGTAGTAAGCTGAGATAGTGCCATTGCACTCCAGCCTGGGCAACAAAAGCAAAACTCTGGCTCAAAAAAAAAAAAAATACTAAATGTTGGTTATTTGGCAATATCATGAGTATCATTGTTAACGGTCAGGGCTAAAAAAGCATCCTGAGAAGCTAAGCTTGATGCCTCACGCCTATAGTCCTAGCACCTTGGGAGGCCAAGGAAGGAGGATTACTTGAGCCCAGGAGTTTGGAACCAGCCCGGGCAACATGGCAAAACCTCATCTCTACCAAAAAAAAAAAAAAAAAATCGATCAATAGATTAGCTGGATGTGGTGGCGTGCACTTGTTGTGGTCCTAGCTACTTGGGATGCTGAGGTGGGAGGATTGCTTGAGCCCAGGAGGTTGAGGCTGCAGTGAGCCATAATCATGCCACTGCACTCCAGCCTGGGTGACAAAGCAAGAGACCTTGTCTAAAAGGAAAAAAAAAAAAAGCTCGGTGTGGTGGCTCACCTGGTTAACATAGTGAGACCCCACACCTACAAAAAAAAAAAAAAAAAAAAAGAAGAAAGAAAGAAAAAAGGGTCAGGCGCAGTGGTTCACACCTGTAATCCCAGAACTTTAGGAGGCCGAGGTGGGCAGATCATGAAGTCAGGAGTTCGAGACCAGCCTGACCAACATGGTGAAACCCTGTCTCTACTAAAAATACAAAAATTAGCTGGGCGTGGTGGCATGTGCCTGTAATCCCAGCTACTCGGGAGGCTGAGGCAGGAGAATCACTTGAACCTGGGAGTAGGAGGTTGCAGTGAGCTGAGATCACAATACTGCACTCCAGCCTGGGCGACAGAGTGAGACTCTGTCTCAAAAAAATAAATAAAATAAATGTTTTTAATTAAAAAAAAAAAAAGGGGGCCGGGCTTGGTTGCTCACAACTGTAATCCAAGCACTTTGAAGGCCAAAGCGGGTGGATCACCTGAGGTCAGGAGTTCAAGACCAGCCCAACCAACATGGTGAAACACCATCTTAAAAAAAAAAAAAAAAAAAAAGCTAGTGCGAATGTCTGTAGTCCTAGCTACTTGAGAGGCTGAGGCAGGATAAATCCCTTACAGTTCAAGGCTTAGTGAGCTATGATTACACCATTATATCCAACCTGGATGACACAGTGAGAGAGATCCTGTTTCTTGCTTTTTTGTTTTGTTTTGTTTTTGATACGGAGTCTTGCTCTGTTGCCCCGGCTGCAGTGTAATAGTGCACCTTTGGCTCACAGCAACCTCCAACTCCCTGGTTCAAGCAATTCTCCTGACTCAGCGTCCTGAGTAGCTGGGATTACAGGCATTGCCACCATCTTTGCAAAGCCAGTATTAAAGAGGTTGGTAAAGAAGCAGTACTCTTATTTGCTGGGGAATGAGCTGTTCTGTCATGGCTTGGATAATTTACATGTTTTGTGTTCAACATGATGATGGAGTGATCTAGTTTTGTCTTGATCCATCACAATCAGTCTGATGTTGATGTTTTGTGAAATTGTTTATGCTCAACCGAACACCAAGACCTAGCTGTGTCAGGCCAATTTTTTTTTCTCTTTCTCACATTTTAATAAGCATGAAACATCTCATTCTTGGCTGAAGGATCTACGTCCCTTTTACACAGAGAAGCAGCCTCGATTTCCATCCCAGGTGCAGAGCTTCAGCTAAGTGATTCAATTCCACATCTATCTTAACCTTGTAGTTCCCACAGAAACGACCCTGGGTCCACTTTGCAGTCCACACCAGATTATGACTCCTCTACACACAGCTGTGCTGTGCTTTGAGCATATCAAACACCGCTTCACTTAAATTTCACCTGAATTCGACTCTTTCCCGAATCATATAACAATTCTTTTATTTTAGTGACTGTCAACAAACTTGACTTTGGTGGAATTACAGGTTTCTCCACTGATCTAATTGGGCTAGAACAAAGCTATATACTGTATAATAAAAATGTTATGGAAAAAATAAAAGCAAGGAAAAAGTGCTCGGAAAGGGACAGTTTGCGATTTAAGTAAGGTGCTCAAGGAAGGCCCCACGGATAAAGTGACATCTGAGCAAAGACCTGAAGGAAGCGGGGAATTTTTAAATTGGCTGATTATCTGGGAAAAGGGCATTCCAGGAAGAGGGAAGAGTTAGTGTAAAGGCTCTGAGGACAGGCATACAGTGGACGTTGCAACCACGCTTTTAGTGAGGCCCACCCTGACAACCTCTTTAATTCTGAAACCTACCCCTACCCCCACTGTTACTCCCTAATCCCACTTTTGCTTTTCTCCACAGAACTTTTCTAGATATAATTCCGTGTCATTTGTTTTCGTTCACCGATGGAGCCCAAGTTCCTAGGAGTGTGGGACACATAGAAGGCGCCTGACAGCCACGTATAGAGGAAAGGAGGCCCGGGGCTGGGCAAAGACCAAGGCCAAGGGAAGGAAAAGACTCGGTCGCGTGGAGCCTTGGGGACCACTGGGAGGGCTCCGGCGCCACGCAGATCTGCATGGGACCAGCCGCCAGAGGCCGCTGTCAGTCGCACAGAGAAGCCCCTAGGACTCGATGTACGTCGACGCACGTGCGCCGTGGCCCCGTCGAGGCGCCCGTCTGATTGGCTGTGGCTGGCTCACAAAAGGGGCGTAGCGCATGCGCACTCCTCTGCGTGTGCCGTGTTTGCTGGTTCCTGTTGCTCTCCAGCATCCGTTGTCTCTGCAGCACCCTGAGTTCTCCTCCAGAGCGGTAGTGCCAGGAGCTCAGAATGTTCCCGGAACTTAATAACCTGCTCAACACCACCCCGGACAGGGCGGAGCAGGTAAGCGGTCCAGGGCCCGGAAGCGGGCGGGGCCTGGCAGGCGGCAGAAGACTGCAGCCGGGAGGCAGCGCTCACGACGCCGGGGAATGGCGCCATGACCGGGCACGGGGCGCCTGGGAGTTGTAGTCCTCAGAGGGTCGACCCGGGGATTGAACTGGAGACTTGGGTCCGCGGAAGTTGGGCCTTCTGGACCATCTCGCATATTCTCAAAGGCCGTGCTTGCCCTTAAAAATCCTTGGGAAGTGGCCGGGCGCGGTGGTACACACCTGTAATCCCAGCACTTTGGAAGGCCGTGGCGGGTGGATCACCTGAGGTCAGGAGTTCGAGACCAGTCTGGCCAACATGGTGAAACCCAGGTCTCTACTAAAAATACAAAAATGAGCCGGGCGTGGTGGCGCATGCCTGTAGTCCCAGCTACTCGGGAGGCTGAGGCAGGAGAACTGCTTGAACCCAGGAGGCAGAGGTTGCAGTGAGCCGAGATCGCGCCACTTCACTCCAGCCTGGGAGACAGAGCAGGACTCCGTCTCAATAAAAAAACAAAAGTCCAAAAAAAAAAAAAAAACCACAAAAGTCCCTGGGAGGCACGACATACAATAAGGTTGGCTTATATTCACAGACGTAAACTGGGGCACCCTGTGCGTTTTCATTGGGGCCCCAGGCCCTCGGAGGAGCCTGTGGAATAGGCTCAAAAGGAGAGGAGAGTTCGAATCGCTGCCCTATTTATGGGCGAGCTTCCTAACCGCCCCCTTGCCCCGGAGCACTCTGCGTGTTGTTTTGATTACAGGCCTGCACTACCACACCCGGCTAATTTTTTTTTGTATTTTTGTTAGAGACGAGGTTTCACCATGTTGGCCAGGCTGGTCTCAAACTCCTGACCTCAGGTGATCCACCCGCCTCTGCCTGAGTGATGGAATTACAGGCATGAGTCCAGCCTGGTTTTTTCATAATCTTTGTCTTCCTAATGAAATGGTAAGCTCCTCCAGGCAACCAGAATACTATGTGTCTAAAGCCTTTTTATGACCCCCTAGTGCCAAATTGTAGCTTTCAGTGGATCCTTGTGGAATTTAATTGCCAGGCAGTTCTTGTCCACATGACTCTGATTACCTTGCCAGTTACTACTGGCACTCCAAAGTCAGCCTAGGGCCAGATGAGAGAATGGACTGTGCAAGTGAGCACCAGGAAATGACAGCACCCGGGATAACCCTGAAGGTCTGACAGTGTGATCTTTCATATTTTTTAAGTGAAAAAACCTGAAGCCTAGAGAAGTCAGGCATTTGCAGAAGGTCACACGGCAAAGAGCTGGCATACATGGTATCACTTGATCCCGACCTTCCCTGTCACTGACAGAGGTGACTGGAGCAGGACACCCAGGCTTTGCAGAGACCACCCTCAGAGGTCTTTCTAGGACTCTCCATGATCAGACCTCTGTCTGAAGCAGGGCCATTGGGTGAACTTCGTAATCAGACATCTCTATCAATAACTGCTTCTTCCTCCCCTCTCCCTCACCCTACAGAACAGAATTGGCATCAGAAAGTAAAGTATTTGGCTGGGAGGTCTTTTGAAGGCCTCTTCCAATCCTAGCAGTCTGATTTTCACTGGAGTCTGATGGTAAAAGCATCCTTTGTTCAGGATCCAATTCTTCCTAAGACTGGTTCCTGAGTTACTAAGGTGAGGAGTGAGGAAGAGAAATAATGTTATTCTCTGTTTTGCTTTGAGGAGGTGGAGGCCAAGATATGCTTCCCTATCATGAGTAACAATAAGTGATAACTTTAATCATGGATTTTCCATAATTTTGGCTTATTTTCATCTTTTCAGGTTAACCTTAGCATATATATCATTAAAAAGATAAACTCTTCAGGTGTAGAAATTTAGGTGTGGACATAATCTACTCGATTTCTACACTAAGTCGACCTCTTTCCAGGGAGTCTAACCTTTTTGTGTTCCTTGTAACTTTTAGGGGAAACTGACTCTACTCTGTGATGCCAAGACAGATGGCAGTTTCCTTGTACACCACTTTCTCTCCTTCTACCTCAAAGGTATGCGACTTGTTGATGCTGTAGAAAAGAAACCCAAGGGGAGTACAGAAATAATAAAAACCAAAACTGTTTAAGGAACCCTTCACATTTTAACGTAGGAGTAACCTCTTATTTCTACATTAAATAAGAGCATTTACAAGCCAGGCTTTGGTGTTAGGATACCTAGGGGGGCTATTTTATTTATTATTACTGGGCCATCTAGTTCCCTCCTCAGCCCTGACAAAGAGTGGCATGTGCTCCCTGTTTCTGTGTCCTACCTTCCCCTTCTCCACCCGCTGTGTGGACATCGTCTCACTGAGGTCCTGTGTGGCTTCCTGATATTGTTGCTCCTCGGTCTTTGTGTACCTCAAGGTCTCTGGGTGCTTGACCCTATTGACACTTTGCCCTGGCAGTAGATGCTTCCTAAAGAACATGTCTGCTGCATGGCTGGGCCCAGTGGCTCACGTCTATAATCCCAGCACTTCGGGAGGCCCAGGTGGGAGGAATATCGGTGGCCAGAAGTTTGAGACCAGCCTAGGCAACATAGGGTGACCCTGTCTTTACAAAAAATACAAAAATTAGCTGGGCACGTCTATAGTTCCAGCTACTCCGGAGGCTGAGGCGGGCAGATCCCTTGAGGCTGGAGAGATTGAGGCTGTCGTGAGCCATGTTTGTGCCACTCTAGCCTGGACAACAGAGCAAGACCATCTCAAAATAAATAAGTACCTAGTACTACATCTGACATCTAACAGAAATATATCTTAGAATCAACAGAATAAGACATAACTGTTAAATAAGAAAAAAGTACATATTTTTTCAGAATCAAATTCTGTATGTTGGGTTGCAAAGCCTCTGGGTCTCTAGATTTCCCTCAGTGCTTTTATTTCCAGAAGTGTGAAGTCAGTGAGACTGGTTGTAAGCAGAGGATTTATTTAAAATCAATTATTTTGTTTTCTAGCTAATTGTAAAGTCTGCTTTGTGGCACTCATCCAGTCCTTCAGCCACTACAATATCGTGGGACAGAAGCTGGTAAATATTTTGGTGCTCCCTGGTGAGATCCCTGAGTGGGTGTGTGTGTCACGCATAGTGAAAAGCTTGGCTTTCCTGTTTGCTTTGTACAGAACTTAGTGAAGGAGGGACTAAATGAATCTTGGGATTCTGAACTCCTTGTCTGAAGGGTGAAGGAAGCATCTGAACATGTTTCATTACTTGAGATTTTATAGAACCAGACCTGCTCTTTGTAGATGTTAATTAATCAAACCCTTCTCTACTTATTCTGGACCAGTTAAGATTTTCTTCTTCTCCATGAAAGTTTTGATTTTAATCCTTGGTTGGAGCTCACATGTTGCTCTGCTGCGAAATTGGATGGCCTCCGCTGTCTTTCCCTAAGTCTAGGGCTTCAGACCCCAATGTGGGGAGAGACACTTTTGTTTCCTGCCCCTCACCACATCAGACACAGGCTGGCAAGAATCAGATGGCCAAGAGGCTGATGAACTTCCTGACCTAACCTGGGCCATTACCCAGGTTAGGTAGTTAGTGAAGACCAGGTGGACTTCACTGCCTGAAAATGGGAGCTGAAGGGCTGTTTCTTATATTTGGTTGTTTTTTTTTCCCAGACAGGCCAGCCTCAGAGAGGGAGATAACCGGGCTACTCTTTAGCAGTGCTCTTTAAAATGCCAGTCTTGGGCCTGGCATGGTGACTCACGCCTGTAATCCCAGCACTTTGGGAGGCTGAGGCAGGCAGATTACCTGACATCAGGAGTTTGAGACCAGCCTGGTCAACATGGCAAAACCCTGTCTCTACTAAAAATACCAAAATTAGCTGGACAGGTGGTGTGTGCTCCTAGAGCGAGACACCATCTCAAAAAAAAAGGAAAAAAATAATCTCTACTAGAAGGCTGGGCGCGGTGGCTCACGCCTATAATCCCAGCACTTTGGGAGGCCAAGACGGGTGGATCACGAGGTCAAGAGATCAAGACCATCCTGGTCAACAAGGTGAAACCCCGTCTCTACTAAAAATACAAAAATTAGCTGGGCATGGTGGCGCGCGCCTGTAGTCCCAGCTACTCGGGAGGCTGAGGCAGAAGAATTGCTTGAACCCAGGAGGCGGAGGTTGTGGTGAGCTGAGATCGCGCCATTGCACTCCAGCCTGGGTAACAAGAGTGAAACTCCGTCTCAAAAAAAAAAAATCTCTACCAGAGATGCAGCCCCCACCAAAAAACATAAGCAAATGAAGTTCAGAAATGTATAAACAGAATGATACACCACACTTGGGTTTATTACAGTTTTGCAAAGCTGATTCAATATTTGAAAATCAACTATTGGCTGGGCATGGTGGCTCATGCCTGTAATCCCAGCACTTTGGGAGCCTGAGGCGGGCAGATCATGAGGTCAAGAAATCGAGACTATCCTGGCCAACATGGTGAAACCCTGTCTCTACCAAAAATACAAAAATTAGCTGGGCGTGGTGGTACACCCCTGTAATCCCAGCTACTCAGGAGGCTGAGGCAGGAAAATCGCTTGAACCCGGGAGGTGGAGGTTGCAGTGGGCCGAGATCACGCCACTGCACTCCAGCCTGGCAACAGAGCGAGACTCCATCTCAAAATAAATAAATAAATAAAAATCAACTATTGTAATCCACCCTAGGCTAAATAAACAAATTCATATGATCATATCACTTGATGCAAAAAAAGCATTTGACAAAACCCAAGACCTAGTCATTATAAAAATTCTCAGCTGCCAGGGTGGAGGCTCATGCCTTTTATCCTAAAACTTTGGAATCCGTCACTCATGGGACATGCATTCTACTCATTTATTTCTTAGAGGATCCAGGCATTGTGCTCATGCCTGTAATCCCAGCTACTCCAGAGGCTGAGGCATGAGAATTACTTGAACTTGGGAGGCGGAAGTTGCAGTGAGCCAAGATCGCGCCACTGCACTCCAGCCTGGGTGACAGAGCAAGACTCCATCTCAATCAATCAATCAATAACATCCAATCTTACTGGATGTCTCGCTCTACAGGCACACACCACCTGCCTGGCTAATGGCAGACCAAGTCACTGCCTCTTCTCTGTTGGGCAGAAGCAAAGGAGGGGGTGAGAGGATGGTAGATTCTTTCTTTCCCATCCTTTGCAGAGAAGGGAGAACTTCCAGTGTAGACATCAGGCCAGGAGCCCAGGGAGAATAATCAGGATGTAAAGAAAACATGTTGCATTGGCCAGGTGCAGTGGCTTACGCCCATAATCCCAGCACTTTGGGAGGCCGAGGCAGGCAGATCACCTGAGGTTAGGAGTTCGAGACCAGCCTGACCAACATGGAGAAACCCCACCTTTACTAAAAATACGAAATTTATTTGTCTTTTTAGTAAATTATATACTTATTTACTAAAGTAATAAATAGTATTGCTTAGGCGGAAGAATCACTTGAACCTGGGAGGCGGAGGTGGCAGTGAGCCAAGATTGTGCCATTGCACTCCAGACTGGGCAACAAGAGTGAAACTCTGTCTCTCAAAAAAAAAGGAAACAAAACATATTGCATCGCAGGTCTCTGTAGCATGATAGCATGACATTACAGCCACTGGATCTGCTTTTCAGATGAGACGGATGTGTGTTTGCAAGTCTAAACTGGCCACTTTTTCTTTTACCTTTGAATGATCAGCGCAGCAGGAATGGCATGCACAGTACTTGGCATGTGAAGTACTGGAACATGAGCTTCTATACTCATGCCATATTGTTGCACTTACATAAATAGACTGGTAGTGAGCAAGAGCAAAGTTGATGATCAGGAGGCTTTTTCTCTGTCAGCTGCAGCTGTTGGAACAAATGGTACTGGACAGTGGAGGACCCTGAGCGATTTGTGTGTGAATGAGCAATTGAGACCTGATGTAGGGGCATGAAAAGTCTAAAGAGTTACATATCCTCCCTCCCTCCCTCCCTCCTTTCCCTTTTTTTAATAGAGAATGAGTCTGCCTATGTTTCCCAGGATGATCTTAAACTCCTAAGCTCAAGGAATCCTCCTGCTTCAACCTCTCAAAGTGCTGGGATTACAGGTATGAGCCACCATGCCCAGCCCCATGTGACCTATTTCTGCACAGATGAAGCAGTAGGTTACACATTTAGGTGCATCACCATCCCTGGGTGTTTGCTGAGATGTAGATCCTGAGCTCTGCCCTCATTCTGGAGGTCTGAAGTTAGACTCAGGGATCTGCTTTTTTTTTTTTTTGAGATGGAGCTTCATTCTTGTTGCCCAGGCTAGAGTGCAATGGCACAATCTTGGCTTACTGCAACCTCCACCTCCCAGGTTCAAGAGATTGGTCTGCCTCAGTCTCCCAAGTAGCTGAGATTACAGACATGAGCCACCATGCCCAGCCAGGGAGCTGCATTTTAATCAGGCATCTTAAAGGGGTGCTTAATTGGATGGTAGTTCATGAAGAACCATATTTAAGGCCGGGCACGGTGGCTCAAGCCTGTAATCCCAGCACTTTGGGAGGCCGAGGCGGGTGGATCACGAGGTCAAGAGATCGAGACCATCCTGGTCAACATGGTGAAACCCCGTCTCTACTAAAAATACAAAAAAATTAGCTGGGCATGGTGGCATGTGCCTGTAATCCCAGCTACTCAGGAGGCTGAGGCAGGAGAATTGCCTGAACCCAGGACGTGGAGGTTGCGGTGAGCCGAGATCATGCCATTGCACTCCAGCCTGGGTAACAAGAGTGAAACTCTGTCTTGAAAAAAAAAAAAAAAAAACTATATTTAAGAAGTCCTTGATGCCAAGCGCAGTGGCTCACACCTGTAATCCCAGCACTTTGGGAGCCCAAGGTGGATGAATCACTTGGGTCCAGGGGTTCCAGACCAGTCTGGTCAATATGGTGAAACCCTGTGTCTACTGAAAATAACAAAAATTACCAAGTGTGGTGGCACACACCCGTAATCCCAGATACTCGGGAGGTTGAGGCACAAGAATCATTTGAACCTGGGAGGCAGAGGTTTCAGTGAGCTGAGATTGCATCACTGCACTCCAGCCTGGGCAATAGAATGAGACTCTGTATCCAAAAAAAAAAAAAAAAAAAATCCCTTGAGATTCAAGTCAGTGACAAGTAAAAAATGAAAAAAAAAAGGGCCGGGCGCGGTGGCTCATGCCTATAATCCCAGCACTTTGGGAGGCCAAGGCGGGTGGATCACGAGGTCAAGAGATCGAGACCATCCTGGTCAGCAAGGTGAAACCCTGTCTCTACTAAAAATACAAAAATTAGCTGGGCATGGTGGCACGCGCCTGTAGTCCCAGCTACTCGGGAGGCTGAGGGAGAAGAATTGCTTGAACCCAGGAGGCGGAGGTTGCGGTGAGCCGAGTTTGCACCATTGCACTCCAGCCTGGGTAACGAGCGAGATACTCCATCTCAAAAAAAAGAAAAAAAAGTAGTCCTGGTCTAAGCAGGGATAAGCATACTAAATTTCTGCCTTTCTTTTTTTTTTTTTTTTTTGGGCAGAGTTTCCCTCTTGTCACCTAGGCTGGAGTGCAGTGGTGTGATCTCAGCTCACTGCAACCTCCTCCTCCCAGGTTCAAGGGATTCTCCTGCCTCAGCCTCCCCAGTAGCTGGGACTATAGGCATGTGCCACCATGCCTGGCTAATTTTGTATTTTTAGTAGAGACGGGGTTTCACATGTTGGTCAGGCTGACCTCGAACTCCTGACCTCAGTTAATCCAACCGCCTCAGCCTCCCAAAATGCTGGAATTTACAGGTGTGAGCTACTGCGCCTGGCCTGGCCTTTTCTTTTTTTTAAAAAAAAGAAGAGTTTGGCTGGGCTTAAACCTGTAATCCCAGCACTTTGGGAGGCCGAGGCGGGTGGATTGCGAGGTCAAGAGATGGAGACCATCCTGGTCAACATGGTGAAACCCTGTCTCTACTAAACATACAAAAAATTAGCTGGGCATGGTGGCGCGTGCCTGTAATCCCAGATACTCAGGAGGCTGAGGCAGGAGAATTGCCTGAACCCAGGACGCAGAGGTTGCCGTGAGCCGAGATCACGCCATTGCACTCCAGCCTGGGTAACGAGCGAAACTCCGTCTCAAATAAATAAATAAATAAAGAGTTTATATTGCTGGAATACGTATGAGACAACTGCCCCAGTTAGAAGAGGAGGAGGACTTATTCATACTCAGTTCTTACTGTATTCTAGGCAGCCTGACATTTACAGTCCATGAGTTGTGTTCTTTCAAACCTCAGAACAGTCTTAAGGTCCCATGCCACTGACAGATAAACAGAGCAAAAAGTGTGGGCCCTTGGCCAGATGCGGTGGCTCATGCCTGTAATCTCAGCACTTTTGGACGATGTGGCGGGTGGATCACCTGAGGTCAGCAGTTCAAAACCAGCCTGGCCAACATGGAGAAACCCCGTCCCTACTAAAAATACAAAATATTAGCTGGGTGTAGTGGTACATGCCTGTAATCACAGCCACTTAGGAGGCTGAGGCAATAGAATTGCTTGAACCTGGGAGGTGGAGGTTATAGTGAGCTGAGATTGCTCCATTGCACTCCAGCCTGGGCAACAAGAGTGGGGGAAAAAAAAAACCCACCAAGTCTGGGCCCTTATTTCTACACTGGCATTTTCCAGACTTTGACCAGCCATTATCTTTATTATTACTTGTTTTTAAATATGTTTAATTTTATAAATACACACATTTAAATATGAAACTTTGTATCACCATTATAAATTAAAATCCCCCAGCCTGGTCAGTATGGTAAAACCCTGTCTCTACTAAAAAATACAAAAATAAGCTGGGCGTGGTGGTGCGCCCTATAGTCCCAACTACTTGGGACGCTGAGGCAGAAAAATAGCTTGAACCCAGGAGGCGGAGGTTGCAGAGATCATGCCACTATACTCCAGCCTGGGTGACAGTAAGACTCCATTTCAAAAAAAAGATAAAAACAGTATTGAGCTGGTGGGTGAGTGGCTCATGCATATAATCCCAACATTTTGGGAGGCTGAGGTGGGAGGATCACCTTGGCCCAGGAGTCAAGACCAGCCTGGGCAACTTAGTGAGACCCTGTCTCTACAAAAGGATTACAGGGGTGAGCCACCATGCTCGGCCTCCCTTTTTTTGTTTTTGTTTTTGTTTTTGAGACAGAGTTTCACTTTTGTTGCCCAGGATGGAGTGCAATGGCATGGTCCCGGCTCACTGCAGCCTCTGCCTCCCAAGTGGCTGGGATTACAGGCATGTACCACCATGCCCAGCTAATTTTGTATTTTTTTTTTCCTAGAGACAGGGTTTCACTGTGGTCTTTATCTCTTGACCTCGTGATCCACCTGCCTCGGCCTCCCAAAGTGCTGGGATTATAGGCATGAGCCACCATGTCTGGCCAATTTTGTATTTTTAGTAGAAACGGAGTTTCTCCATGTTGGTCAGGCTGGTCTTGAACTCCTGACCTTTGCCTTCCATTCACCCACCTTTGCCTTCCAAAGTGCTGGGATTATAGGCGTGAGCCACTGCGCCAGGCCTAGGTTTTTGTTTGGTTTTTTTTGTCTTTTCGAGCTCTCGTTCAGGCTGGAGTGCAGCAGCATGATCATTGGCTCACTGCAGCCTTGACTTCCTGGGCCCACGTGGTCCTCCCACCTCAGCCTCCTGAGTTGCTGAGACTACAGGTGCAAACTACACTTGGCTAATTTTTTTAATCTATTTGTAGAGACGAGGTCTCTCCATGTTGCCCAAGCTGATCTCAAACTCCTGGACTCAAACGATCCGCCTGCCTCAGCTTTCCAAGTGGTTGGGACTCCAGGCATGTGCCACCATGCCTGGCTAGTTTTTCTTTTAATGTGACAATTAAATGGCAATGCACATCTGAAAACAGGTGAAGGATTGTGGGTTGGGAGCTCCCAGGGGAATGAAGACAAGCCTGTACATCGGGTGGACAGATACACTTCTGCCATGTTTGGAAGATGTCTTGTGCCCTCTTGCAAGCTGGCATCTAGTCTGATGGGTTCTGCTACAAGGCACAGTAACTCACTCTCTCTGTCATGTTTAGGGTGTCAACCTGACCATGGCGCGGGAGCGTGGGCAGCTTGTGTTCCTCGAGGGACTCAAGTCTGCAGTGGACGTCTTCTTCCAGGCTCAAGAGAAGCCACACCCCCTGCAGTTTCTCAGGTCAGTCAGTCTGCAGCCCAAGAAGCACACACTTGGCCAGAGGGCCCAAGCAGGGTTCTTGGTTGCTGCCTGATTCCTTCTTACTGTGCCGGAGGATAGAACTGGCTTCAGGAGTCAGACGTTTCATCTGGTGTTGCAGCATCATCACATGCTGGCTCTTATCATGGGGCTGAGAGTGGACATTGTCCCAAAAGCTCTAGAGAGGATCATTTGCTGGAAGGATGGCAGAACGATATGCTTTGCTGTGTTTTCCAGCCCTGGCTTAGAGCCTAGCATGTGCCTGTGCTCTGTGCTTGGCTTGATACAGGAGTCAGCAAACTATGGGCTGAGTCAGCTGCCTGCTTTTGTAAATAAATTTGTTTTGTTTGTATTTTTTTTTTATGTTTTGTCTTTTTAAAAATTCTTTTTTTTAATTTTTGTAAATAAAATTGTATTGGAATACAGCCACATTCATTTGTTTGCATGTTGTCCCTGGCTGTTTTTACACTACAAAAACAAATAGAGTTGAATGGTTGGGACCATATGACCTGCAAGGCTAAAATATTTATTCTCTGGACGTTTAAGAAAAAATTTGTCCCCTGGTTTGATATTCAACAGCACAGGCCTGAGATTGGTTTTCCTGCTTTTCCTCCTTTCTGAACATTGGCCACAAACAGATCTGTGAAGATTCTGGAACTTCCCCCCACTGCCTCATCTCTCAGACACACAGCCTTATGTGGTGCTGTGAGGCCATGTTTCCTGACCCTGTGTGTGACCTCACACATAACCCTTAGCACCTCTGACCTGGGGCTCCCATTTGAAGGTAGGGGCTGGTTACACCTCCTCCTAAGGGTTGGGGAGATGTCCTCATTGTTAGTGAAGTTAACCCAGTGCAAGGGACTCATCTCTGGAGCATATGGCAGTAGGCCCTGAGCTCTGTTCTTCCACTCATTGCTGAGAAATGATGACTGGGGATAGTCACTGGAGAAGATGGAGATGGGCAAGTTGGCTTGTGTCAGAAACAAGTCAAATCTGTTACCTATACAAAAGCCTTTAGGCCACTGTCACTCACCATCAGGGCACCTGAGTTGCTATTTAACTTCCTATTTTCATTATTTTTTTGAGACAAGGTCTTTCTCTGGTGTCCAGGCTAGAGTGCGGTGGTGCAAACACAGCTTACTGCAGTCTCAACCTCTTGGGCTTAAGCACTCTTCTCATCTCAGCCTCCTGAGTAGCTGGGACTACAGGGTCATGCCACCATGCCTGGCTAATTAAATTTTTTTGTAGAGACATGGTCCCTTTCTGTTGCCTACACAGTTCTTGAACTCTTGGGCTCAAATGATCCTCCCGCCTTGGCCTCCCAAAGTGCTGGGGTTACAAGGTGTGATATACTGTGCCCGCCCTGTTTAACCTCCTGGGAAGGCTTCTGCCTGCGCAGTCCATGTTGATCTTCCAGGTGCCTTAATCTCTTAGGTTGAGAGGCTTTATGGAGTCTCCTTTTTTTTTTTCTTCAAAAATCAAATACAAATAGCTAGGATGGAGTCTCTCTAGTTTTTTTTTTTTTTTTTTTTTAAGACAGTCTCATTCTGTTGCCCAGGCTGGAGTGCATTGGTGTGATCTCAGCCTTGGCTCACTGCAACCTCCACCTCCCAGGTTCAAGCGATTCTCATTCCTTAGCCTCCCAGGTAGCTGGGATTACAGGTGCATGCCACCACGCCCGGCTAATTTTTGTATTTTTGTAGAGACAGGGTTTCACCATGTTGGCCAATCTGGTCTTGAACTCCTGACCTCAAGCGATCTGCCCACCTCAGCCTCCCAAAGTGCTGGGATTACAGGCGTGAGCCACCATATCTGGCTATGTATCATGTCTCTCAAGGGCCCTAGGAGCTGATTATTTTTGTGTCCCCCAGTTTCTATCAGTGCTTTATACCTACCTAGTAGGCCTCAGGAAGTATTTGAATTGGAGTAAAATTATTCCTGTACATGTGCATGTCTTTTCTTTCTAATCAGAACATGAACTCTTTGTCGCCAAGGATTCTGATACAGTTCTTTATCTCCCCTAGCCCTCTCCTGTGGTGCTACTTGTCCTTGGTAAACATCTGTGGAGAGAGTGAAGTCTGGTAACTTTTGTCTTGTCCCTCCAGGGAGGCCAGTGCTGGGAACTTGAAACCATTGTTTGAGTTTGTACGTGTCGCCCTGAAGCCAGTAGACAGTGGAGCCGCTGGGTGGACCTACCCGGTGCTGCTGGTGGACGACCTCAGTGTGCTCCTGAGCCTGGGCCTGGGGGCGGTGGCTGTGCTGGACTTTATTCACTACTGCAGAGCCACCCTGTGCTGGGAACTAAAGGTACTAATGGAACTGCCTTCTGTGCGCCCACCTGTGACCTCCAGGAGCTCAGACAGGTCCAGACTCACTTGGTGTGATCTTTTTATTTGCTTGGAGTTTTGTTTTTACTCTGGAGGCCCAGAAAGCTTGTATTCCAGCCACCCTGCTTTCCCTTACCTGCTGTTGCTGAAAAGTAAAGCACCCCCAGAGTAAAGTGATGATGAACATTGCATTGCATTCAGTGGGCTAGTCACATATGGCACCACTGCAGTCCCAGGTCTGCCACACATAGCCTGTGAGTCCTGGTGCAAGTTATTATTGTCCCTGAGTGTATTTTATACATCCGCTAAGTTAATGAGTATGAGCTACTTTAAAAATTATAAAGGGCAATAAAAGCATAGGATATACAATATTACCTTTATTACCAAGTTAGGAGGGACAAACAGATTTTCCCATAATAGAGGTTTTGGAGTTTTTGTTTTCTTTTGGCTAGTCAGGTGAAGCAGTGGGAACAGAGAAGGAACAAAGAAATCTGTAACTGGTTGTGATCAATTAGATGTAAATACTACTGCACTCACAGCCATAATAGAGTTTTAACAATTATAATAGGCCAATCAGGAAAATAGGAATGACTATTAATATCTGAGCAAGTTGTATGGGAAGCGCCACACTCTGAAATCTTGATTGTGAGTCCTTTATTGCCAACGACCAAGAGTCAGCTCACGCTCAAAATCTCTTGGCCCTGAGGAAGGGGTTTGATTTCCTTTTATATGTTGCTCAGGGTGAGGGGGGCAAAGCAGAATTTTACAGAAGCAGAATAAGCAAGTTAGGAGAGGAGGCTCCCATGATTGTTGATTAACTAAGGAGGGTATACACAAGCAGTTCCCATGATTGCTGGTTACCAAGGAGGGGCATTCAGTACTTTCCATATAATCAATCAAGGGAGTATTCACAATAGCAAGTGGGCTTGTCAAGCAGGATATGGTTACAATGGTTATATGTTTCTATAGTTCTAAGCACAACATGACTCAGCACAGTGTGGTCCAGGTATACATTCAAGGGAGAAATGGTGGGGGGAGAAGCCAAGATGGAGTCAGTCAGGTTCACATCTAAGTTGGAGTTAGTTTGGTTCATCTCATGACTGTGGTGACTACCTCACAGGTACCTACTGCAAGAGTGAAGTGAGATGAAGCTTGTAACATGCCAGCACGGTGTCTGGCCCACTGTAGCCATTTGTCAGTGTGCAGTGGTGCAGCTGGCAGGAACGTGTGGATATTGGCATGGTGTGGTCAGGCTGAGCATGCACAGCAATGGGAGAGATAAGCTAACTGAGTTAGCCAGGCATGTAGGTATCCAACAGTGTGTGTTGAACACCTGTGTTCAAAGTCCTGCCTGGAAGAAGCTGTCCTGGCTATGGTTGCAGAGCTCCTTAGCCAGGGTAATGCAGAAAGAATGGGAGGAGGAGGAACTGTCAGGAGTGTGGAAGGCACAGTCTGGATTGGGGGGTGAGAGTAAGTAGTCAAAGCTACCTTCCACATCCCAGCTGGGCCTTTGACCTGCTACTACCCTCTTTTTGTAAGAATACTTTTTTTAGTTGAAAAAGTAAAATTTGGCCGGGTGCGGTGGCTCACGCCTGTAATCCCAGCACTTTGGGATGCTGAGGTGGGCTGATCACAAGGTCAGGAGTTTGAGAACAGCCTAGCCAACATGTCAAAACCCTGTCCCTGTCCCTACTAAGAATACAAAACATAGCTGGGTTTGGTGGTGGGCACCTGTAATCCCAGCTACTTGGGAGGCTGAGGCAGGAGAATTGGTGGAACCCAAGAGATGGAGGTTGCAGTGAGCTGAGATCACGCCAGTGCACTTCAGCCTGGGTGACAGAGCAAGACTTCATCTCAAAAAAAAAAAAGAAGAAACTTGGGCATCGCTTAAAAAAAAAGAAAAGGAACAGAGGAACAGTATAAAGCGTACTTTAGCAAAAAGTGCTGCTGTCTCTCTCCCTCCCTCCAACATGCATCCTTCCAGCCAGTCTGTACAATTACGCACATATTTGTGTTTTTTCTTTTTTTTTTTTAACTTTTTGTAGAGACTTGGTCTCACTGTGTTGACTAGGCTGATCTTGAACTCCTTGGCCTCTCAAAGTATGTGCACATATTTGTCTCCCTGCATTTTCCCTCATATCACTGGTAACCTGCTATCCACACTGTTTACTACTTTTTTTTAAATTTAGTAATACACAGTATATTTCATTTAGTAATATGCGGTATATACGATCCATTGCCCCAAAATAACACATGGATCTGCTTTACTTTTTTTTTTCTGATCCTGCTTTATAATTTAACGGCTGTGCAGGCGCCAGTCCCTCATTTCTGCCCCTCAAAGGCCTACTGCTCTGGGGTCAGGGTTTTCTGCTCAAAGGCACGGATGTGCGGGAGCTTCCGGCTAGGCACACATTCACCCGCCGTTGTCTCTGAAGCAGCACCTTCCCCTCAAACTTGGCCGACACCACCAGGACTCAGAAGCTGCACCCACAATGGTTGAGGGTCACGTCCTCCACCTCCAGGTCCTGCTGCAGCTTTCCCTGGAGGTATTTGGCAGCAATGAGTTTCATGACAGCATCCAGCTGGGGCCACAGCCCAGACAGAGCCCTAGCTTAGATCCCAGCCATGCTTCTTTGCACCCCTACAGGAGCCACTTACTGTTTTTCTTTTTTATTACTATTCTTTTTTTTTTTTTTTTTTTTTTTTTGAGACAGAGTTTTGCTCTTCTTGCCCAGGATGGAGTGCAGTGGCCCAGCCTCTGCCTCCCAGGTTGAAGTGATTCTCCTGCCTCAGCCTCCCAAGTAGCTGAGATTACAGGTGCCCACCAGCACGCCTGCCTAATTTTTAAAAATATTTTTAATAGAGACAGGGTTTTACCATGTTGGTCAGGCTTGTCTTGAACTCCTGACCTCAGATGATCCACCCACCTTGGCCTTCCAAAGTGCTGAGATGACAGCTGTGAGCCACCGTGCCCGGCCTTGTCTTTGTGTTCCCCGTACACCTTATGCTTCCCTCCCCCTTGGCCTTATCATCCTGTATTGTCAGCATCTGTCTGTCTCTGGGGCCCATATCTCTCACCTGTTATTCCTACTGTGGGATCTTGTACACTAAGTTTTCAGGAACCATTGACTGAATGAATAGGTGCCTTGCAGGTTGGTGACACTTTAGTAACATTCAGGAATTCAGGAGAGGAGCTAATTTTGAAGACTGCAGGGTGAGCTTGGTTTAGATGAAGTGAGCTGAAAATATAGGTTGGCTCTGATGGTGAAATTGTCCAGTAGATGACTGGAATTAGGGTCTGGGAGCCCAGGTAGGGAGTGGTTGCAGCAGCAGCAGGGAGGGTAACCTGTGAGGATGTACAGGGGAGTGGAGGTAATGAGAGGCTGGTGCTCCCTGACTCTGGGTGTCCCTTCCAGTAAGGACCAGGTTTCCATCTTGTATCTGCTGCAGGGAAATGTGGTGGTCCTTGTGCATGACAGTGGAGATGTGGAAGATGAGGAGAATGACATCCTGCTGAATGGCCTCAGTCATCAGAGCCACCTGATCCTGCGGGCTGAGGGCCTGGCCACTGGCTTCTGCAGGGATGTGCATGGGCAGGTATGCAGGGACCCGCTGGGCAATGGGCTGCTTGCCCATGTACCTATGATTCCCGACTGCATAAGGGAGAGTAGGGCCTGAGGGACTGTCTGGTTGGGACTGAACTTTAGGTGGAAGGGAAACATTGGAAATTGTGAGACTTCAGGTCAGATCTCTGCTTAAGATGGTGCTGAGCCTCATGGACCAGCACACATTTTCCATGGGAGTCCCGTTTATGACCCATGGAGCACTCTTAAAGAGGAGACAGTTGTCTAGAATGGAATGCAGGGGCATGCCATCAAATAACAGCAAAATTTCTCTGCAGTACTGCAGCAGGCATTGTCCATTCAGGTCAACACTGTTCCTTTTAAAATAATGACCAGGGGGCGGGCGCAGTGGCTCATGCCTGTAATCCCAGCACTTTGGGAGGCCAAGGCAGGCAGATCACTTGAGGTCAGGAGTTGGAGACCAGCCTAGCCAACATGATGAAACCCCATCTCTAATAAAAATACAAAAGTAGTCCCAGCCACTTGGGAGGCTGAGGCACGAGAATCGCTTGAACCTGGGAGGCAGAGGTTGCAGTGAGCCGAGATTGTGCCATTGCACTCCAGCTCCAGTGACAGAGCGAGACTTCATCTCAAACAAACAAAAACAGGTATCTAGCCTTCCTGGGCCTCTGCATTGAATGTACAAATTCTAATGTGATTTTTTTTTTTTTGATATGGAGTCTTGCTCTGTCTCCCAGGTGGCTGGAGTACAGTAGCGTGATCTCAGCTCACTGCAGCCTCTGCCTCCCAGGTTCAGGTGATTCTTCTGCCTCAGTCTCCTGGGTAGTTGGGATTATAGGCGTGTGCCACCATGCCTCGCTCATGTTTTTGTATTTTTAGTAGAGACAGGGTTTCACCATGTTGGTCAGGCTGGTCTTGAACTCCTGACCTCGTGATCTGCCTGCCTCAGCCTCCCAAAGTGCTGGGATTACAGGTGTGAGTCACTGTGCCTGGCCTCTAATGTGATTTTCAAAATTAGTCTAGCCCACAAGTACAAAACCATGCTTAGAAAAAAGAACTAAGGGGCTGAGCGCAATGGCACATGCCTATAATTCCAGCACTGTGGGTGGCAGAGGCAGTGGATCACTGGAGGTTAGAAGTTCACCACCAGCCCGACTAACATGGTGAAACCCCATCTCTACTAAAAATACAAAAAAAATTAGCCAGGCTTGGTGGCACATGCCTGTAATCCAAGCTACTTGGGAGGCTGAAACAGGAGAATCGCCTGTACCTGGCAGAGGTTGCAGGGAGCCGAGATCGCGCCATTGCACTCCAGCCTGGGCAACAAGAGCAAAACTCCATCTCAAAAAAAGAGAAAAAAAAGAACAGCTAGGTGCGGTAGTTCACGCCTGTAATCCCAGCACTTTGAGAGGTGGAGGTGGGCAGGTCACCCGAGGTCAGGAGTTCTGAACCAGGCTGACCAACATGGAGAAACCCCATCTCTACTAAAAATACAAAATTAGCTGTGCATGGTGGCGCATGCCTGTAATCCCAGCTACTCAAGAGGCTAAAGCAGGAGAATCACTTGAACCTGGGAGGCAGAAGTTGCAGTGAGCCGAGATAGTGCCATTGCACATGAGCCTGGGCAACAAGAGTGAAACTGTCTCAAAAAAAAAAAAGAGAGAGACAGACACACACACACACATGGGCCAGGCATGGTGGCTCATGAGAGAGAAAGAGAGACACACACACACACACACACACACACACACACACGGGCCAGGCATGGTGGCTCATGCCTGTAATCCCAGCACTTTTGGAGGCCGAGGTGGGCAGATCACCTGAAGTCAGAGTTCCAGACCAGCCTGGGCAATATAGCGAAACCCCGTCTCTACTAAAAATACAAAAATTAGTGGGGCCTGGTGGCACACGTCTGTAATCCACCTACTTGGGAGGCTGAGGCAGGAGATTCACTTGAACCCTGGAGGTGGATGTTGCAGTGAGCCAAGATTGTGTCACTGCACTCCAGCCTGGCAATGGAGTGAGACTCTGCTTAAAAAAAAAAAAAAAACAACATAAAAATAAGGGTCTTTCTCTGAAAGACTTTTTTCTTCCTTCTCCTTTTTCTCTCTTTCACACTTTCTGTATTGAGCAAATATGACTATTGTAATGGAGGGGAACCCTTTATTTGTAGTTAGCTGGTGATAGGTTTTATTTTACAAGTTGGCCCCATTATGAGATCACTATGACTGTGATCTCATAGAGGCCTCAGCTGAAAGTCACAGAGAAGGCAGGGTGGGGTTCCCAGTAGAGCAGGTTCCCAAGGTCGCCCCTCTTTCATTCTTCTCTGTCTCTGTAGCTGAGGATCCTGTGGAGGAGACCATCGCAGTCTACATCTCAGCGGGATCAGAGCCTCACTTACCAGTATAAGATACAGGACAGAAGCGTGTCATTTTTTGCCAAAGGAATGTCTCCTGCTGTTCTGTGATCTGATTTCGGAGCAGCTAAAGCTACATGGGACTGTTTTTGGATGTGGAAGATAACACAACCTAGCAAAAATGGGCCTTTCTCCTCTGTAGTAGTATTTCGGGCTGGACTGGTGACTCCATGGTGACCAGGGAGAGTTGAATGCTGCAGTGATGGCATACCTTGGCTATTCTGGGCTCTGTTCAGAAAACACAGCAAGGGACCACGATCCTACTTCTGCTGAGAGAGAGGCTGGATGCTAGACCCCAGCGAATGGGGTCCTTTGGAGCCTTTGTTTAGATATGCCTTAGTCCCAGCTGCCTATTTTTGGTTGATGTGTCTTTCAAAGCCAAAGTGGGTATAAATGTGCCAGCCAGGAAATAGTTGCAGATGGCAGGTACGCAAGGTGACAACTAGGACAGTCGTGACTGGAATAAAGTAAGTTTCCACACTGGGGCTTCCTGTGGGTTGTCTTGTTCAATTTCCATCCTGGAAAGGTACTTTCCTTTTCCCTTTGAGTCCAGTGAGGAAACAGACCTAGAGAGGTTTAGGAGCGCACAGGCTGCACAGCGGGCTGTAGGTAACTGCGCCTCAGAGTCTATACTTGCTGACTGATAGTTATGTAACTCAGACGCCAGCTTCTCCAGTTTCCGTGGTGCCTTGCCTTTATGCCAACAAATCCTAGCCATCAAGGGCCTGGCACCAGGGCCTTGGCCACATGAGGCCCTGTGTAGGCGCAGGTGTGTACGGCCTTGGTGAGAGGGGTAAGGGAGGTTCTGGCTGCCAAGCAGGTGGGACCTTAGTGAGGAGCTGGTGCCTCCCTCACCTATGAAGACTGCAGGAGGTGAACACTTGTTCCCGGATCCTGTAGATGATAATTAGTCCTACTCAGCCCCTCAGTTGAGGTCACCTCAGAGTAGATACCAAGTGTATCCTCTTAAAATGGGTGCTTTTTTGGTATATAAATTATACTACAGTGAATTTGTATCTTAAAGAAAATGAAAAAATAATACTATTTTGCTGTATACTAAGGAACTTGCATAGCTGTTTTCTTTTTTTTCTTTTTTATTTTTGAGATGGAATCTCACCCTGTTGCCCTAGCTGGAGGACCGTGGCGTGATCTCAGCTCACCGCAACCTCTACCTCCCAGATTCAAGGTATTCTCCTGCCTCACCCTCCCGAATAGCTAAGATTACAGACATATGCCACTGCGCCCAGCTAATTTTTATATTTTTAGGAGAGACGGGGTTTCACCATATTGGCCAGGCTGGTCTTGAACTCCTGACCTCAGGTGATCCACTTGCCTCGGCCTCCCAAAGTGCTGGGATTACAGGCATGAGCCACTGCACCTGGCCTCTTCTCTTTTTTTTTTTGAGACATGGTCTCTGTTGCTTAGGCTGGACTGCAGTGGTGTGGTCATAGCTCACTGCAGCCACGACCCTCTGGGCTCAAGGGCTCTTCACACCTCAATCTCCCAAGTAGCTGGGATTACAGGTGCATGTCGCCATGCCCAGCTCATATCTGCTGTTTAATTTTAACTTTTTACCTTTTTAGTCTTTGGGAAAAACTTAACCACACTTCTCTTCAAATCATACAATTGTTTATGTTATCCTTCTGAAACAATAAGCTGCTTTTATTCTCAAAATATTGTAGACCTGATAGAAATCTGAAAGTTATGAGTGCAATTAAGAGAAAGTAGCCGGGCGCAGTGGCTCACGCCTGTAATCCCAGCACTTTGGGAGGCCGAGGCGGGTGGATCACGAGGTCAAGAGATCGAGACCATCCTGATCAACATGGTGAAACCCCGTCTCTACTAAAAATAGAAAAAATTAGCTGGACATGGTGGCGCATGCCTGTAATCCCAGCTACTCAGGAGGCTGAGGCAGGAGAATTGCCTGAACCCAGGAGGCGGAGGTTGCGGTGAGCCGAGATCGCGCCATTGCACTCCAGCCTGGGTAACAAGAGTGAAACTCTGTCTCAAAAAAAAAATAAATAAAGAATCTAACGTAATGATTCTTTCATTAAGACTTCAGTACTTATGCAAACTTTATTTGAGCTACAATTTTCAATGGGCAAGCCACCATGTTTTTGTTTTTTTGTTTTTTTTGCCTATCAGTTTGAGCTTTTGAGGTTGCTCAGGTTAGCCTTGAACTGATGACCTCGCCTTCGCAAGAGCCATGACCTCCGGCAGGAGCCACTTTGGACCCCGAAACCACCATTTTTTACATGACATAAATGTTGCTAGCATGTTTCTTCACTTAGTTTATAAATGCTTTCACTAATTTTTTTTTTTTTTTTGAGACAGATTCTCTGTTGCCCAGGCTGGAGTGCAATGTGGCACTTCTTAGCTCACCTGAATTCCAAGTGATCCTCCCACCTCAGCATCCTGAGTAGCTGGTACTACAGGTGCCCACCACCACGTCCAGCTAATTAAAAATTTTTTTTGTTGAGGCAGGTGTCGCCTTGCTGCCCAGGGTAGTCTTAAACTCCTGGACTCAGCAGATCCTCGCACCTCAGACTCCCCTCGAATATTTTATGTTTAATAGCTATTCAGCATTTTATGCCATCATTATATTCTAGTTTGTTTAGTTATCCTCTGGGCATGTAGGTTCTGGTTTTTACTGTTACCAATTATGCTGTTATAAATGTTATATACTCTCCCTTTTGAGGGTGGGGACAAGTACTTGCTTTTTTAGAACCTGGTAAACCAGGTCACTGGCAGAGCTCATAGAACTTACGTTCTGGAGGAAAAGAGGCAATTAACAGAATTGACAAGGGACATATTTAACTTAGACCATGCTAAGTGCTGTAAATAAACCAGCGAAGGGGCCTGTGAGAAGGGTGGGGTGATTCCAGTTTAGAGTCTGTTCCCGCTAAGGGAATTACTGAATTATAGCATGAACTGGCCCAGGCACATTAGCAGGTTGTTCTTCAGAATGGTGGAGCCAGTTTATAGTGATACAGAGCTTTTCCTCGGTCAACTTTGGGTTTAACTTATTTTTAATTCAATGGTAGTTGTGTGAAAATGAACATTTCTTTAATTGCTAGCATATAATTTTCTTTGTATTTTTCCATATGTACAGAATCTGTTCCTTATCCTTGCTTACCTGGTGTTGGTTGGGCGTGGCAGCTCATGCCTGGAATCCCAGGACTTTGGGAGGCTACGGCAGGCAGATCACTTGAGTCCAGGATTTTGAGACTAGCTTGGGCAGCATAGTGAGACCTCACCTCTACAAAAAATAGAAATGTTAGCCAAGTGTGATAGTGCATACCTGTAGTCCCAGCTACTTGGGAGGCTAAGGTGGGAGGATCACTTGAGCCCAGGAGGTTGAGGCTGCATAAACTGTGATTGCACCACCACACTCCAGCCTGGACAACAGCGTGAGACCCTGTATCAAAAAAAAAAAAAAAACCCGGCCAGGCTCAGTGGCTCACACCTGTAATCCCAGCACTTTGGGAGGCCAAGGTGGGCAGATCACAAGGTCAAGAGATTGAGACCATCTTGGCCAACATGGTGAAACCCCATCTCTACTAAAAATACAAAAATTAGCTGGGCATAGTGGCACGCGCCTGTGGTTCCAGCTACTCAGGAGGCTGAGGCGGAAAAATCGCTTGAACCCAGGAGGTGGAGGATGCAGTGAGCTGACATTGTGCCACTGCACTCCAGCTTGGCAACAAAGCAAGACTCCATCTCAAAAAAAAAAAAAATCTCAAAAACCTGGTGTCAACTTTACTAAATCTTTGTAATATTTTGGAAAGTAAAATTTTGCCATTTATTTATGAATATTTTTCTACATTCTGGTTTTTAAAAATATTTTTTCTTCAGAAATGTTTGATTTTTATTATTATTATTTTTTTGAGACAGAGTCTTGCTCTGTCGCCAGGTGCCAGGCTGGAGTGCAGTGGCGCAGTCTCAGCTCACTGCAGTCTCCACCTCCTGGGTTCAAGCAGTTCTCCTGCCTCAGCTTTCTGAGTAACTGGGACTACAGGTGCACGCCACCACACCCAGCTAATTTTTGTATTTTTTAGTAGAGATGGGGTTTCACCATGTTGGCCAGGATGTTCTCAATCTCTTGACCTCGTGATCTGCCTGCCTTGTCCTCCCAAAGTGTTGGGATTACAGGTGTGAGCCACTGTATCCAGCTATTATTATTATTATCTTATGAGACAGAGTCTCACTCTCTCACCCTGGCTGGAGTACAGTGGCACCATCTAAGTTTATTGCAACCTCCACCTCCCAAGCTCTCCTGCCTCAGCCTTCCAAGTAGCTGAGATTACAGGCATGTACCACCCTGCCCAGCTAATTTTTGTGTTTTTAGTAGAGACGGGGTTTCCCCATGTTGTCCAGGCTGATCTTGAACTCCTGACCTCAAGTGATCCACCTGCCTTGGCTTCCCAAATTACTGGGATTACAAGCATGCGCCACCACGCCCGGCCCAGAAATATTTGTTTTATATTGAGATATTCATTAGTCCAAGAAATAGTTTTAGAAGACCTGTTTTATAAAAAAGGGTTGTAAAGATAAAAACAATCCTGAAGGCCGGGCACAATAGCTCACATCTGTAACCTCAGTGCTTTGGGATGCTGAGAGGAGGGTTGCTTTAGGCAAGGACTTTGAGGCCAGCCTGGGCAAAACAGCTAGACCCTGTTTCGAACACCAACAACAACAAAAAGCTGGGCATGGTGGTGTGGTCCCAGCCACTCTGGAGGCTATGGTGGGAAGACTGTTTGAGCTTAGGAGTTCAAGGCTGTAGTAGGCTATGATCAAGCCACTGCACTCAAGGCTGCATGACAGAGTGAAATGCTGTCTCAAAAAAACTCTGAAACCAAAAGCAAAACAATCCAAAAGGCTGCTGCAGCCTAATGAAAGGTTGATATGATTTGGGTCTGTGTCCCTCCCTAAATCTCACGTCGAAATGTAATTCTCATTGTTGGAGATGGGACCTGGTGAGAGGTGACTGAATCATGGGGGCGGATTTCCCTCTTGGTACTGTCCTGAGTTCTCATGAGATCTTTTGTTTAAAAGTGTGTAGTGCCTGCTCGCTGCCACTCCCCCACCCCATCTTGGTCCTGCTTCTGCCATATAAGACACCTGCTCCCGCCATGGGTGAAAGCTCCCTTGAGGCCTCCCCAGAAGCAGATGCTGCCATGCTTCCTGTACAGCCTACAGAACTGTGAGCCAATTAAACCTCTTTTCTTTATAAATTACCCAGCCTCGTGTATTTCTTTCTTTCTTTCTTTCTTTTTTTTTGAGGTGAAGTTTTGCTCTTGTTGCCCAGGCTGGAGTGCAATGGTGTGATCTTGACTCACCACAACCTCCGACTCTCAGGTTCAAGCAAATTCTCCTGCCTCAGCCTCCCAAGTAGCTGGGATTACAGGCATACGCCACCATGCCTGGCTAATTTTGTATTTTTAGTAGAGACTGGGTTTCACCATGTTAGTCAGGCTAGTCTTGAACTCCTGACCTCAGGTGATCCACCTGCCTTGGCCTCCAAAATGCTGGGATTACAAGTGTGAGCCACCTTGCCCAGCCTCAGGTATTTATAGCAGTGTGAGAATGGACAAATATAGGGGTAGAAAAACAGGATCATAGGGTGTAATATGGGCCATAAAAATGAATCTAGTAACATGAGGCTGATGTTCATAGGAAAGAACAATTATTTCCCCCTAAATTTTTTTGTTTTTTGTTGGGGGAGCAGAAAATTGGAGAAGAATTTATGGGGGCAATGCTATTTGAAATGTTCCTGTTTCATCTCTGATGGTGTCTTAATTCTTCAGGACTCAAAAATGTGTTTTTCTTCTCACTGGAATGAAGTTGCTATTCTGTGCTTTCTAATGTGAAATAATTTTTAAAATACGGATAAGATTTCAACTCATTTAGAATTTGTAGGCCAGGTGCCATGGCTCATGCCTGTAATCCCAGCACTTTGGGAGGCCGAGGCAGGTGGATCACAAGGTCAAGAGATTGAGACCATCCTGGTCAACATGGTGAAACCCCATCTCTACTAAAAATACAGAAATTAGCTGGGCATGGTGGTGCACGCCTGTAGTCCCAGCTACTTGGGAGGCTGAGGCAGGAGAATTGCTTGAACCCAGAAGGCGGAGGTTGCGGTGAGCCGAGATCATGCCATTGCACTCCAGTCTGGGTAACAAGAGTGAAACTCCATCTCAAAAATAAATAAATAAATAAATGATTGGCAGCAGCAAGCCGGGCATGCTCTCTCATTCCTGTAATCATAAGCACTTTGGGATCCAAGGCAGGAGGATTGCTTGAGGCCAAGATGTCTGGACCAGCATGGACAACATAGTGAAACCCTGTTCCTACAAAAAAAATTTTTAAAAATAGCTGGGCATGGTAGCACATGGCTGTAGTCCAAGTTACTCAGGAGGCTAAAGTGGGAGGATTACTTGAGCCCAGGAAGTTGAGGCTGCAGTCAGTGAGCAATGATTGCACTAATGCACTCCAGCCTGGGCGATGTAGTGAGATATTGTTCTTTTGTTTTATTGAGACAGAGTCTTGCTTTGTCACCCGTGCTGGAGTGCAGCACAATCTCAGCTCACTGTAACCTTTGCCCCCTGGGTTCAAGCAGGTCTCATGCTTCAGCCTCCCAAGTAGGCTGCACCACCACACCCAGCTAATTTTTGTATTTTTAGTAGAGACAGGATTTCATCATGTTGGCCAGGCTGGTCTTAAACTGCTGGCCTCAAATGATCCTCCCAAAGTGTTGGGATTAGAGACGTGAGTCACTCTGCCCGGCTGAGACCCTGTCTCTTTTAAAAAAAAAAAAAAAGACAGAAGATTGGAATAGACATCTTACCAAAGCAGACATAAGAATGGCTAACAGGCATTATATAAGTGATCAACATTATTAGGGAAGTACAAACTAAAACCACAATGAGGGCCAGGCTCAGTGACTCATGCCTGTAATCCCAGCAATTTTGGAGTCCGAGGCAGGTGGATCACAAGGTCAGGAGTTTGAGACCAGCCTGGCCAATATGGTAAAACCCCATCTCTACTAAATTTACAAAAATAGGCAGGCATGGTGGTACACGCCTGTAATCCCAGCTACTCAGGATGCTGTGGCAGAAGAATTGCTTCAACCCAGGAGGTGGAAGCTGTGGTGAGCTGAGATCGTGCCACTGCACTCTAGCCTGGTAGCTGGAGTGACAGAGAAAGACTCTGTCTCAAAAAAAAAAAAAAAAAAAAAAATTATTTACACGGCAGCAAGGAAAGAAAAGAAAAAAAAAAAAAACAAAACCATGAGATACCACTACATAGCCACTAAAATGGCTATATCAAAAAGACTGACAGTAACAAGTACTGGCAAGGATGTGAGGAAATTGGAACCCTCATACATTGCTAGTGGGGATGTAAGTGGTGCAGCCACTTTGGAAAATAGTTTGGTATTTCTCAAAACGTTAAACCTAGGCTGGCGCAGTGACTCAAGCCTGTAATCGCAGCACTTGGGAGGCCAAGATTGGTGGATCACTTGAGACCATGAGTTTGAGACAGCCTGGCCAACATGGTGAAACCCCATCTCTACTAAAAATGCAGAAAATTAGCTGGGTGTGATGGCACACGCCTGTAATCCCAGCTACTCAGGAGGCTAAGACATGAGAATTGCTTGAACCCAGGAGGCTGAAGTTGCTGTGAGCTGACATTGCACCACTGCACTCCAGACTGTGTGACAGAGGAAGACCCTGTCTTAAATAAAATAAATAAAGGCTTACTATATGATTCAACCATTCCATTCATAGCTATCTACCCAAAAGAAATGAAAATGAGCTGGGCACGGTGGCTCACACCTGTAATTCCAGCAATTTGGGAGGCTGAGGTGGGCAAATCACAAGGTCAGAAGATCGAGACCATCCTGGCTAACATGGTGAAACCCCGTCTCTACTGAAAATACAAAAAACTAGCTAGGTGTGGTTGCACACCCCTGTAATCCCAGCTACTTGGGAGGCTAAGGCAGGAGAATCACTTGAACACGGGAGGCAGAGGTTGCAATGAGCCAAGATGGTGCCACTATACTCCAGCCTGGGTGACAGAGTGAGACTCTCCAGCCTGGGTGACAGACTCCGTCTGAAAAAAAGAAAAGAAATGAAAACAGTTCTACACAAACACTTGTGTGATGACAAAAGTGACTCCATCTTGGATGCTAATCTGCCATGTTGACCTCAGATTGACCCCAGTCCTGTGAATGCCTTCTGATTCCTTGTTTATTTACTGTCTTTAATGCAAGAACATGTAATCACAATATATCCTGCCTTTAGGTCAAAGCAACCTTTATGTTACTGCGCAACTCATTCTGGCCTGTTCTAGAGGGTTGCCTTTCATTGTCTCTATAGAGCACACACCCCTTTTTCTATGCTATATAAGCTCTGGGTCTGGGGAATAATGTTGCAGAGATCTACCTGACTTATTGCTGACCATGTTTCTGTTCGTAAGTTCCCTAATCAATTGCCCTCTGCTGATAAACTGGATTTGTCTGTCTTGTTCTCTAGTTCCTTGGCTCCTTTTGCATTTGGGGGTGATTTTGTACATATGCCCCTTTCATGGAATAACTTGTATGTGAATATTCACAGCAGTGTTTATTATTATAACTGAAAAGTAGAAAAAAATCCAAATGTCTGCCTGGCCTGGTGGCTTATGGCAGTAATCCCAGCACTTTGGGAGGCTGAGGCAGGCAGATTATGAGGTCAGGAGATGGAGTCCATCCTGGCTAACATGGTGAAACCCATCTCTTCTAAAAATATAAAAAATTAGCCAGGTGTGGTGGTGGGTGCCTGTAGTATCAGCTACTTGGGAGGCTGAGGCAGGAGAATCACTTGAACCTGGGAGGCGGAGGTTGCAGTGGGCCAAGATTTTGCCAGTGCACACCAGCCTGGGAAACAGAGCAAGACTCTATCTCAAAAACAAACAAAAATTCAGATGATGATAATAATCAAATGATAATAAAAATGTAGTATATCTGGATTAGCTGGGTATGGTGGCTCACACCTGTAATCCCAGCACTTTGAGAGCCTGAGGCCGGCAGATCACAAGCTCAAGGGTTTGAGACCAGCTTGCCCAATATGGTGAACCACTGTGTCTACCAAAAATACAAAAATTAGCCAGGCATGGTGGTGAGCACCTGTAGTCCCGGCTTCTCGGGAGGGAGGCTGAGGCAGGAGAATTGCTTGTACCTGGGAGGCGGAGGTTGCAGTGAACAAAGATTGTGCCACTGCACTCCAGCCTGGGTGACAGAGTGAGACTTTGCAAAAAAAAAAGTAGTATGTCTGTGCAGTGGAATGTTACTCAGCAGTAAAAAAGGAATTAAAGTACTGATACATTCTGCAACATGGGTGAACCTCAAGAGCATTATGCTACTCAGTAGACTGGGGCAGGAGGATCAATTGAGCCCAGGAGTTCAAGGCTGCAATGTGCTGTGATTGTGTCTGTGAATAGCCACTGCACTCCACCCTGGGCAACATAGTGAGACCAAAAATTATTAAGCCACATACAAAAGATAGGGCAGGCACAGTGGCTAACACTTGTAATCCCAGCACTTTGGGAGGCCAAGACAGGCATATCACCTAAGGTCTGGAGTTCGAGACCATCCTCATCAACATGGAGAAACCCTGTCTCTACTAAAAAAATACAAAATTAAATTAGCTGGGCATGGTGGTGCATGCCTGTAGTCCCAGCTACTCAGGAGGCTGAGACAGGAGAATTGCCTGAACCCAGGAGGCAGAGGTTGCGGTGAGCCGGGATCGTGCCATTGCACTCCAGCCTGGGTAACAAGAGCAAAACTCCATCTCAAAACAAAATTAGCCAGGCATGGTGGCACATGCCTATAATCCCAGCTACTTGGGAGGCTGAGACAGGAGAATTACTTGAACCTAGGAGGCAGAGGTTGCAGTGATCCAAGATCAAGCCATTGCACTCCAGCCTAGGCAACAAGAGTGAAACTGACTCAAAAAAAAAAAAAAAAAAGACCAGCCTGGCCAAGATGGTGAAACCCAATCTCTACTAAAAATACAAAAATTGGGCATGGTGGCATGCTCCTGTGATCCCAGCTACTGAGGAGGCTGAGGCAGGGAATTATTTGAACCCAGGAGGCAGAGGTTGCAGTGAACTGAGATCGTGCCACTGCACTGCAGCCTGGGCAACAGAGCAAGACATTGTCAAAAAAAAAAAAAAAAAAGGCACATCTGTAGAGATAGATGATAAATTAGTAGTTGCCTGAGGCTGGGAGTGAGAATAGGAAGTAACTCAGTTAAGTTTCTCTTGGGGAGATGATCCAAGATGGCCAAATAGGAACAGCTCTGGAGTGGGGTTCCCAGTGAGAACTCAGAGGGTGAGTGATCACTGCATTTCCAAGCAAATTTTTACTGCCCACACACCAGGAGACTCCTGGGCAGAAAAGTGCTACGTGTCTCCAGCATGGCTGTTTCAGCCAGTGCTGCGGGTCTCCGCACAAAAACTCACACAAACCTGGGCACTGTTTCAACTGGTGCCTGGAATACCTGGGGGACAGAGTAGCCCATTCAACTGAAAAAGAGGGGGATGAAACAGGGAGCCAGGTGATCTGGCTCAGCAGGTCCCACCCCCACAAAGACCAGCAATCTGAAATGCTCTGGATTAAGAGTTTCACAGCAAGCACAGCTGGACCTGGGACAGTCTAGCTCTGTGGGGGGAAGGGTGTCCGCCATTACCGAGGCAGACTGCCATTACCGAGGCAGTTCTAACTGCACCTCTGTAAACAAAACTGCAAGGAAGTTCACACAGCAGCTGGGCAGAGCCCATGGCAGCTCAGCAATGCCTCTGCTGGCAGACTGTGACTAGGCTACCTCCTCGTTGGGCAGGGCATCTCTGAAAAAAGGCAGCAGCACATCAGGAACTTATAAATAAGGCCTTACCTTCCCAGGACTGAGCAACTGGAAAAAAGGCAATTATGAGTTCCACTGCAGCAGACTTAAACGTACCTGCCCAGCAGCTCTGAATGGAACAACCAAGCTCACAGCTCAGCACTTGAGCTCCTATAAGGGACAGACTGTCTCCTCAAGCAGCTCCCTGACCTCCATATATCCAAAGAGACACCTCATAAAGGAGAGCTCAGGCTGACATCTGGCAGGTATTCTTCTGGGACAAAGATAGCAGAAGAAGAAACTGGAAGCAACCCTTACCATTCTGCAGCCACTGCAGGTGATCCCCAGGCAAGCAGGGTCTGGAGTGGACCTCCAGGAGTCCTACAGCAGAGGGGCCTGACTGTTGGAAGGAAAACTGAAAAACAGAAAGAAATAACTTCATCATCAATAAAAATAACATCCCCTCAGAGACCCCATCAGAAAGTCACCAACTACAAAGACTACAGGTAGATAAATCCACAAAGATGGGAGGAAACCAGCACAAAAAGGATAAAAACACCCAAACCAGAAGGCCTCTCCTCCTCCAAGGGATCACAACTCCTCACCAGCGAGGGAACAAGGCTGGATGGAGAACGAGTCAGATGAATTGACAGATACAGGCTTCAGAAAGTGGGTAACAATAAACTTCTCTGAGCTAAAAGAACATGTTCTAACCCAATGCAAATAAACTAAGAACCTTGAAAAAGTTTTGACAAAATGCTAACAAGAATAAACAGCATAGAGAAGAATATAAACGAACTGATGGAACTGAAAAACACAACACAAGGACTTTGTGAAGCATACAGAAGTTTCAGTAGCCAAATCAACCAAGCAGAAGAAAGGATATCAGAGATTGAAAATCAACTCAAAGAAATAAAACAAGAAGGCAAGATTAGAGAAAAAAGAGTAAAAAGAAATGAACAAAGCCTCCAAGAAATATGGGATTATGTGAAAATACCTAATCTACGTTTGATAGGTGTACCTGAATGTGACAGAGAGAATGAATCCAAGCTGGAAAACGTTCTTCAGTATATTATCCAGGTGAACTTCCCCAACCTAGCAAGGCAGGCCAATATTCAAGTCCAGGAAATACAGAGAACACCATAAAGATATTCCTCAAGAAGAGCAATCCCAAGGCACATAATCATCAGATTCACCAGGGTTATAATGAAGGAAAAGTGCTAAGGGCAGCCAGAGAGAAAGGTTGGGTTACCCACAAAGGGAAGCCCATCAGACTCACAGTGGATCTCTTGGCAGAAACCCTACAAGCCAGAAGAGAGTGGGGGCCAATACTCAATAAAAGAAAAGAACTTTTCACCAGGCGTGGTGGCTAATGCCTGTAATCCTAGAACTTTGGGAGGCTGAGGTGGGTGGATTACCTGAGGTCAGGAGTTCAAAACAAGCCTGGCCATCATGGTGAAACCCCATCTTTATTAAAAAAAAAAAAAAAAAAAAAAAAGTATCCACGATTGAGTAATCTATTGAAAAAAAAGGAAAGAACTTTCAACCTAGAATTTCACATCCAGCCAAACAAAACTTCAAACTAAGTGAAGGAGAAATAAAATCCTTTATGAACAAGCAATTGCTCAGAGATTTCATCACCACCAGGCCTGCCTTACAAGAGCTCTTGAAAGAAGCACTAAACATAGAAAGGAACAGCCAGTACCAGCCACTCCAAAAACGTACCAAATGGTAAAGAGCATCAACACAATGAAGAAACTGCATCAACTAATGGGCAAAACAACCAGCTAGCATCAAAATGGCAGGATCTGATTCACACATGACAATATTAATCTTAATTGTTAATGGACTAAATGCTCCAATCAAAAGACAGACTGGTAAATTGGATAAAAAGTCAAAACCCATCAGTTTGCTGTATTCGGGAAACCCATCTCGCATGCAAGGACACACATAGGCTCAAGCTAAGGGATGGAGGAAGATTGACCAAGCAAATGGAGAGCAAAAAAAAGCAGGAGTTGCAGTCCTAGTCTCTGATAAAATAGACTTTAAACCCACAAAGATCAAAAGCAACAAAGAAGGGCATTACATAATGGTAAAACGATCAATGCAAAAAGAAGAGCTAACGATCCTAAATATAGGTGCACCCAATACAGGAGCACCCAGATACATAAAGGAAGTTCTTAACCTACAAAGAGACTCAGACTTCCACACAATAATAGTGGGAGACTTTAACACTCCATTGTCAATATTAGACAAATCAATGAAACAGAAAATTAACAAGCATATCCAGGACTTGAACTCATATCTGGACCAAGCAAACCTAATAGACATTTACAGAACTCTCCACCCCAAATCCACAGAATATACATTCTTCTCAGCACCACATCACACCTACTTTAAAACTGACCACATAATTGGAAGTAAATCACTCCTCAGCAAATGCAAAATAACGGAAATCATAACAAATAGTCTCTCAGACCACAGTGCAATCAAATTAGAACTCAGGATTCAGAACTAACTCAGAACTGCACAACTTCATGGAAACTGAACTGGCTCTTGAATGTTGTTGACTGCATAAACAATGAAATGAAGGCAGAAATAAAGATTTTTTTTGAAATCAATGAGAACGAAGACACAACATACCACTATCTCTGGGACACATTTAAAGCAGTGCCTAGAGAAAAATTTATAGCAATAAATGCCCACATGAGAAGCAAGGAAAGATCTAAAATTGACACCCTATCATCAAAATTGAATGAACTAGAGAAGTAAGATAAAAAAAAACTCAAAAGCCAGCAGAAGACAAGAAATAACTAAGATCAGAGCAGAACTGAAGGAGATAGAGACACAAAAACCCTTCAAAAAATTAGTAAATCCAGGAGCTGGTTTTTTGAAAAGATCAACAAAATAGACCACTAGCCAGATTAATAAAAATGAAAAGAGAGAAGAATCAAATAGATGCAATAAAAAGCGATTAAGGGTATATTACCACCGATTCCACACAAATACAAACTACCATTAGAGATTACTACAAACAACTCTATGCACATAAACCAGTAAACCTGGAAGAAATGGATAAATTCCTGGACACTTGCACCCTCCCAAGCCCAAACCAGGAAGAAGTTGAAACCCTGAATAGACCAATAGCAAGGGCTGAAGTTGAGGCAGCAATTAATAGCCTACCAACCAAAAAAAGTCCAGGTCCAGATGGGTTCCCAGCTGAATTCTACCAGACATACAAAAATGAGCTAGTACCACTCTTTCTGAAACTATTCCATGGGCCGGGTGTGGTGGCTTATGCCTATAATCCCAGTACTTTGGAAGGCCGAGGTGGGTGGATCACAAGGTCAAGAGATTGAGACCATTCTGGTCAACATGGTGAAACCCCATCTCTACTAAAAATACAAAAAATTAGCTGGGCACGGTGGCGCGTGCCTGTAATCCCAGCTACTCAGGAGGCTGAGGCAGAGAATTGCCTGAACCCAGGAGGCGGAGGTTGTGGTGAGCCGAGATCACGCCGTTGCACTCCAGCCTGGGTAACAAGAGCGAAACTCCATCTCAAAAAAAAAAAAAACTATTCCAAACAATCCAAAAAGAGGGAATCCTTCCCAAATCATTTTATGAGACCAACATCATCCTGATACCAAAACCCAGCAGAGACTTAACAAGGAAAGAAAACTTCAGGCCAATATCTATGACGAACATATATGCAAAAGTCTTCAATAAAATACTGGTAGGCCGGGCGCGGTGGCTCACGCCTATAATCCCAGCACTTTGGGAGGCCGAGGCGGGTGGATCATGAGGTCAAGAGATCAAGACCATCCTGGTGAACAAGGTGAAACCCCGTCTCTACTAAAAATACAAAAATTAGCTGGGCATGGTGGTGCGCACCTGTAGTCCCAGCTACTTAGGAGGCTGAGCCAGGAGAACTGCTTGAACCCAGAAGGCGGAGGTTGTGATGAGCCGAGATCGTGCCATTGCACTCCAGTCTGGGTAACAACAGCGAAACTCCGTCTCAAAAAAAAAAAAAAAAAATACAGATAAATAGATCCAAGATGGCTGATCGCTAACAGCTCGGGATTGTAGCTCCCAGTGAAAGCAAAGAGAATGAGAGGAAGCCACACTTTCAGACGAATTTTCGTTGCTCACGGACCAGAAGATTCCCAGTGGAGGGGCCCTGCGGGTCACCAGCGTGACTCTTGTGGCCAGCACAGCTGTTTTGCCGGCGCCTCAGCACGGCAGCTCTTCGTGCAGAGTAAATGGGAGGAGATTCCCGGGCAGAAGAGCACCATCAGTCTTATCGCTGCTGTTTTGGCCGGCACAGTGGGTTGCTCGGATTCCAGCGCTGGGAATCAATAAACTGGGCATCCACTCAGAAACCCAACTAGAAAGGTGGTAATCATAAAGACGACAGATGGATAAATTTATAACAAAGGGAAGAAACCAGCCTAAAAAGGCTGAGAATACCCAAAATCAGAACCCCTCACCCTCTACAGGGGATTACAGTTCCTCATCAGCAACGGAACAAGCCCTGATGGAAAAGAACTGTGTGCCATTAACAGAAGTAGGCTTCAGAAGGTGGATGATAAGAAACTTCTGGGAGTTAAAAGAACTTGTTCTAACCCAATGTAAAGAAACTAAGAACTTTGAAAAAAGGGTTTGACGAAATGCTAACAAGAATAGACAATATAGAGAGGAATATAAATGAACTAATGGAGTTGAAAAACACAACACAAAAACTTAGCAAAATATGCACAAGTTTGAATAGCCGAATTGATCAAGCAGAAGAAAGGATATCAGAGGTTGAAGACCTACTTAATGAAATAAAACAAGATAAGAATAGAGAAAAAAGGAATGAGCAAAGTCTCCAAGAAATATGGGACAATGTGAAAAGACCAAATTTACGTTTGATAGGTGTACCTGAATACGACAAAGAGAATGAATCCAAGCTGGAAAATACTCTTCAGGATATTATTCAGGAAAACTTTCTGAATGTAGCAAAGCAGGACAATATTCAACCCCAGGTAATACAGAGAACACCACAAAGATATTCCTCAAGAAGAGTAACCCCAAGGCACATAATTGTTAGATTCACCAGGGTTGAAACGAAGGAGAAAATACTAAGGGCAGCCAGAGAGAAAGGTCAGGTTACCCACAAAGGGAAGCCTATTAGACTTACAGCAGATCTCTCAGTAGAAACACTACAAGCCAGAAGAGAGTGGGGGCCAATATTCAACATCCTTAAAGAACAGAACTTTCAGCCTAGAATTTCATATCCTGCCAAACTAAGCTTCACAATTGAAGGAAAAATAAAATCTTTTATGAACAAGCAAGTACTCAGAGATTTTATTGCCACCAGGCCTGCTTTACAAGAGCTTCTGAAAGAAGCATTATACATAGAAAGGAAAAACCAGT